TATATGACGTCCTCCCAGGACTGGCCGGCCGCAGTGAAGCCATCATTCAGCTATCTGTGGTCGGCAAGTGGTTAAACTTCTGCAGCTACAGTGTTTGTACCTGCTGGCTTTGAATTTTTTGTTAAATGATTGTAGTTCCTCTTTAATTGTTAGGGTATTTCTCTGTGGACAGTGCCCAAAGCGTGGGTACACATGTGGTAAACACTAGATCAAGCTTTGTAGAGAACACTGGCAGCTCGCTCTCACCTGTACATCAAATCCATCAACATCTCTGGGTCCTCTTGATGCTCCTTCATTTTCACAGTGTCTGTTAGGATCATGTGTAGATTGAACACCAGATCCTTAACCTGTAAAGAACAACCATTATAGATATATCCACTACCCAGAATAAAAACGTGAATTGTAACCATGACTTAGATCAATGAATGTGTGCTGCATTACTTGCTCTGGGAATGTGGTGTCTCTTAAATCCAGGTCCTCCTCGGAGTAAGTAAGGATGGTCTTCAAAGATCGTCGTAGGTACTCCTCACTGAACTTCTGAGAGGTCCCCACCAATGAGGATAGGGACATGGTGACCTGCATCTTCACCCGGGCAAAATTCTGAGCCAAGAAAATAACAGGTCAGCCTGTAATATCCTACGCCCAAACCTTTCTTTCTGTCTGTAGTGCCCTCTAGTGATAAAAATTGATTACTCCTGGGTTTGTTTGGTCATGCTGGATCTTCATTGACGTATAAAGTGCAAATAGTTGTTCAATGCCCTCTTGGAATACACTTCAGGGTAAATTCTAATTAGTATGGCAGGCCTTTAGATGACTGCACCTACTGTTCCTCAAAACATCACACAACTTTTGCTAAACTCCAACCTGTGGACTACCGTTTCAGACCTGTGATCTACTGTATGAGCCAAAAAAGTACTGGACACCTGCTGGTGTTCTGGTTCAGCTAAGGCCATGTGACACTTTAAAAACTAAAGAATTTACAGGGTTTTTTAAATTTATTTCCACCTAAAACCTAAGAACTGGGGTCCTCCTTATCTACCTTACCACTCTTGTATTGTAGAAAAACATCAGTTAAGTGTGCATGTTGAATTCCCGTGTCATTACACAGCGCAGATTACAGTCAAAAGGAAAAGAGCCAATCAGAGTGGCTCTGTACCTTGTGATGACTGTGAACCAACCACAGCCATCACAAGTGTAAACATTACCTATATTTACAAATATTCAGTGCTTCCTTTTCTATTTTGTGAGATGAAAGAGAGCATTAAATGTTTGTAAACACAAGAAGATCAGCATGCTTGCTGACAGCCTGTACATAACTGACTAAATAAGAAATGATCTTGTTCTACTAGAAATGTAAAAGGGAGTTTGTCCTTCACTGAGTTGATAAGCAGTTTGTTATGTACTAAGCTCCTTTCTTGCACTTAGGCCGTCGCCTGGCTGGATGAGTTAAAAAAAAAAATGGCAAGTATGTCTAATAAAAGAAAACAAATTAAATATAATTTTTTTTAGTAAAAAAGCTCTTGGCCTGGGGATCAGACAAGTCCTGTCTGTAGAGCTGAAAGTTGCGAGCCATTTCATTTCAAGGTGGAGCATATCCTTTTTGGCTACCTTTTATCCTTGGTGGAGAGGTACTAGCGGAGCTGTCCCTGTGTGCTGTGAGGGTCCAGTGAGTGAGGTCTGGAGTTATTCCCTGTATGTTGTCAGTGTGCCAGCGGAGTCCTTTCCTTTCCTGAGCCCAGATGTTCGCCGGAGATAAATTGGATATGATTATATGCGCAAAATCATTGCGCTTCTGGTGAGTGCAATCATACTACAAACCCTTATCACGGAGTCACGTGCACAGAGATTTTACGGAACACTTTGGACTTCTATTTATTCATATATATTCATCAAGATTTACAATTATTTATTTGTTTGAAATTATTGACCACTGTCACTATTGGATATTCCAGTCACTAATTATCTCGTCATCATTTGACGAGACACTATACATGTTGTGGTCACTCTAGCGCTCAATAATTCTGCGCTTCACCTTATATGCATTTGTCACTTTCAATAATTAGGCACTGCATTATTTATTTATTTTGATACATTTGAGGATATAGGGGGTTCATCCTTAATGCTAACTGCTTGAAATAATCGTGCACTCGCTTGTTATCTATTTTATAATTTTTTTAGTACTGAACATATTAACAGAATGAATGAAAATATAAATAACAGAAAATCATTTATTTTAGGCTCAGGAAAGTTGATGTCACTTACATTTCCAATCTCAAAGTTTTGTCTCATAAGGAGATAGAGGGAAGCGCTGGCATGTGTCCGCACACTGCTGATACAGCTGCTGCAATGCCGCAGGAGACGGAGACAGAGATCTGAGCACATTTCGGTGTCGTCTTCAAATAGCATCTCTGGGAACTGAGCAGAACCAAGGCACAGATGTTCATAGAATAATTGAAAAGATTAGGAACGGGATACCGGCAGGAAAAAGACAGACCACTGAGTGTACACACTCTGCATACTCACCTTGCACACTAGCGCCCTCTGGCTAGTAAAGCAGTGTTGCAGATACAGGGCACTCTGGTTGCAACCCATGCTGTGTAACAGAACCTTCAGCACACCTCCCAGAATGCTCTCCTTCATCTCCGACAACATGACTGTCTGCAAGGCAAAGACACATCTAAGCACAAAGTCTTCTCCTTTCTACATAAATAAGTGCAGTTACCACATATTATAGGTCATACATGAGCTGTGATATCGCTGCCCTGGGTGAGCTGTCCTGTCATCTTACCTGGACAATGATCTCCAGTGTGTCCAGTACCACCAAGTTAGCCTCGGTCGCCATGTTTCCATCGACTGTGATCTCAAGTTCTCGCTCTGCCTGTGTCCTGAAATTGGAGAAAATCATGTATCGGCCTGCGTGGCATTTAAAGGAATCCATGGCAAATTGACACTGTACTGGCTAAAGGTAACACACAACTCATAGGCAACAATTCCAAAAATAATTATCTGCAGTACATCATTACTCAGCTACAAACTCTTAAAGCTTCTCACTTTTCCATCTTCTCACTATTTGGCCTCCACTGGGTGACGTTCTTCCTCCACCGTACATTCTCTTGATTCCCGTATGGACTGCGCTCTGCAAAGTAGGGGAGGGCAGGTGAGTTTTGCCACCATTTTCTGCAGAATATGTACAATATTCCATATTTGTATCATTTTCCAACTCTTTATCAAGTCAGAAGCATCAACTCTCGTCGTTGCTCCTAGGATGATAAGGAGCTAGACATGACTTTGAACATCACTTTTAAATGACAGGCGCTATTATGTTTCATATTATCGCTTCTATTAAAGCGATACTGAACACACACTGTTAAATGTACATTATCCCTTTTCTGTGTGTGGATGATCACACTGTATATATTTTAATAAAACAAGCCTCTAAATGCCTTTTTTCCTAACTGATATACAGCTGCCACCTAACCCAGCTCTTTCCCAGCCTGTCTGCAGGGAAACATAAGCAGGAGGAGCTTCTAGTCCTCTGCTGCTGATTACATGTTCCAAACTAAAAAAAAACAAAAAACAAAAAAAAACAAAACATAGCCTTTGGAATATAGAGTAAAAAAATAAATGATTGATATCAATAATCTGTTTTAAATTGTCATACTAATATATATAGCTGAAAACAAATCTTTATTATTTTTTTGGCAATAACATGGTGTGGGCGGATTTCTGCTAGTCCCAGGCCTCTCCAGCCTGTGTCTTAGAACAGGGAGGTGAAGCCTCCATCAATCAAGATATAATATCCCACCCCCCTATTGTGTTTATCTGTTTAGTGGGCATTGAGGAGGAGGGAGGGACTGGGCTGTCATTTATCACTGTGTATACACCCACATGTGTGACTATAGAGTCACATGGACTGCTCAGATGTCATAAGGAGGAAATGCTCAAGGTAGAAACACACTGAAAACTGAGCATGTGCACTAGCCACCAACGCTGCTCTGCAAAAAACCCAACTGCAGTGGGGACATGCACAGGAGGGGGAGATACAGAACAGCAGCATCAACCAGGAGTTTTGAAGAATACAGAAAACAAATCCCATAGTGACTGAATGAGTATGAACAGCATGTAATGCAGCATTTGATAGTTTTTAATGATGTGGGTTTAAACACCTGGGTGTGGATGTGGAATATTTGACATGTTGGAGGACTGGTTGAGGGAGGTTTCATTCTTGCACCAGGCACTGGGAAGGTGTGAGCTCCAGTATTTCAAGCAATTTCAACACAGAACATGTATCAAGAAGCTGTGAGGACTGAATAATAACAGGATGGAGGGGGAAGAAAGACATGAGGGAGTAAAAGAAAGGAAAATGGGTAGTGGGGGGGGGGAGGAAAAGATAGAAGGAGAAGAGAAGATGAAGAAGACAGAACAGAAAAAAAATTACAGGGAGGGGAGAGGACTAAGGGAGGGAAAGAGAGAATAGGAAAAAAAAGGATGCAGAAAGAAGAAAAAAAAAAAAAAAAAAGAAAAAAGATGATCAAATGAGAATGAAAAATGAAAACAGAGAGAACAGAGGAATAGGAAACACAAGCGAAATCGGATGGGACAGAAAAAAGAAGATGGATGGATAGATAGCTGACAGAACAATAGGTGGATAGCTTGATCTCACGGGGAATAAGGTTGGACTGGAGGATGTTGGGTCTACCAGAAAGTCTAGGTACGATAACTCACACCAGAGAACTAAAATAACAATCACCTCAAGCAACAAATTATGTAAAACACTTGTGACATTGGCTGATGGACAGGCTTAACCCAGAACAGAGAGTCTGATTTATTATAGAACTCTTAGCCATGGCCCAGTATAATGGATCCCACAATAAGATATAGAAGGGAAATAGATGCTGTTCTGAGACATTTAAAGTGTTATTTCACCTTTACTGAAAGAAATGTAAAAATTAACTAACACTGGACACCCTCCCAACCCCCTGGTCCCCATTACACTAACCTCTGGAGTTGCCAAACTGTCAGCACCCCACACTGCTCCAGCTCTCCAGGGATCTGCAATCTCCGTTCTTCTCAGTGCAGCACTTCCAGGACAGACCAAATTGGTTCTGTCCAGGGTTCTGTCCCTGGTTCTCTCCAGGGATCTGCAATCTCCGTTCTTCTCAGTGCAGCACTTCCAGGACAGACCAAATTGGTTCTGATTGGCCAGCGCCATCACAGTGAATGGATCTGGTCCATCCTGGAAGCGTTGCACAGAAATGAGGGTGAAGAATAGGGATTTAAAACCATCTGACTGCTGGAGTGGCTGCTGACAACTTGGCAACCCCAGAGCCAAGTATAGCGGGAGACCAAGGAAGGGGGGTTGTGATTGGGCAGAATTAGGGAGGCCAGTGTAAGCCCACCATTATGCCATTTCTGTAAAGATAAACTGAACTAACCCTTTAAATGAAGCAGGACTGGATCATTGGTGTAATATAATACAGCAAGATGAGAATGGCGGTAATCAGTACAAACAGATTATTACCTCTACTACGTTTCACCATATCCTGACGGGCACCAATAGTGCCGAGAATGGCCTCCTCCAGCCGAGCCTTCATATCGAGGGATTTCTTAAACGTCAGGCTGTTGATACGCTCAAATGCCTTTTTGCCCTGAAGAATGGGGAGCAATGAGAGGTAAAGGGATGCTTCAAGCATTACTAGACATACAGTCTCGGTATGAATCGTGGGACACTCACCTTGTACTGGAAGCTGGACACACACACACTCAGCAGTTCCAGGAGACGGGTCAGTTGGACTACAGACAGGCTGGAAAACCAGCGCTGAAGGCAATCTTGCTCGGCGTTCTTCAGCACCCACAGCGCACATACCAAGAGATTTCGGCTCGATTCCGCAGAGAGCACACCACTGGTACGCATAGACTAATGAGAGAGAAGGAAAGGATGTTTTGCTTTCATTGTGTGAACAGCGGCTTCTCTGTCGCGATTTTCTTTAATTATTCTAAAAGCCTCTGGAAGACACCAGCCTGCAAATGTCAATAATTATGATTAGTTGTTTTTGAAAATATGCACCCTGATCAGGATTTGAATTTTGAAGTTCATTGCAAGATCTCATGAAGTTCCTCAGTATCAAAAGAAGATTCAACAAGGCAAGATTCACACAACCTTCACACAGTTTTCTAATTTATTTATTTATTTCAGGTACTTATATAGCTGTCAATTTACGCAGCGCTTTACATATATATTGTACATTCACATCAATCCCTAACCCTCAAGGGGCGTACAGTCTAAGGTCCCTAACTCACATTCATACATACACATACTAGGGACAATTTAGACAGGATCCAATTCACCTACCTGCATGTCTTTTGGTGTGTGGGAGGAAACCGGAGTACCCGGAGGAAACCCACACAGGCACAGGGAGAATATGCAAACTCCAGTCAGGTGGTACCAGGGTTGGGATTCGAACCAACAACCCTAGTGCTAACCACTAAGCCACTGTGCCGCCCAATTGGATTCAATTAGAAATGTGTGACGCTTTTTTTTCTTACTACAATGTGTGAAAGAGTTAAAACCTCTGTCAACGTCCTGTATCTCCGTTTGGGATATTTCCCCTACTTTCTTCATTCTTAAAGAGTGTCAGAAATGGAAATGATGGAACATTGCCCCATTATCTGCCTATATGGATATCAGAACAGGAAGTGAGAGGAAATCCTCCAAAATTAATACACAGAAGAAACATTTCCTAGTAGAATGAGAAAGAGTTAGAACCTCAGGATTTTAACTGCTATCTTTGTCCCTACACAGAAGATATTGCTTCCTGTCCAAGTGACAGGCCCGCCGTCTCTTCTGTGGCGATAAACAGAGCATTTAAAACCAAACAGACGTTCAAATCCTTCCCCCTCTATACAAGGCTAGAGAAACATGCTTGGGTGGAGTTGGCCTTTAATTTAAATGTTAGTTTATCTTAAAATGGATTAGTAATCCAGCATCTACCCCAGCCTTTCTCAGCCCTTTTACTATTGAGGTACCCTTGAAATAACTTTCTGGTCTAAGGGAACTCCTGCTAATAATTACTTTATCTAGAGCTCATGGTACATTAGTGAGGTGGTCAGTGGGAAGAATGCTTCTGCATTGGTGTTCAATAGGAAGAATGTTCCTTATATTATTAGTGGTCAGTGGTAGGAATGTGGCTTAGACTGGTGGTCACTAAGAGGAATGCTCCTTACATTGGTGGTCACTGAGAAGAATGCTCCTTACATTTGGTGATCAATGGGAAGATTGCTTCTTACATTGGTGGTCACTGAGAAGAATGATCCTTACATTTGGTGATCACTGAGAAGAATGCTCCTTGCATTGGTGGTCACTGAGAAGAATGCTCCTTACATTGGTGGTCACTGAGAAGAATGCTCCTTAGATTGGTGGTCACTGAGAAGAATGCTCCTTAGATTGGTGGTCACTGAGAAGAATGCTCCTTAGATTGGTGGTCACTGAGAAGAATGCTCCTTACATTGGTGGTCACTAAGAAGAATGATCCTTACATTGGTGGTCAATGGGAAGATTGTAAAGATTGCTTCTTACATTGGTGGTTACTGAGAAGAATGTTCCTTACATTGGTGGTCACTCAGAAGATTGCTTCTTACATTTGGTGATCAATGGGAAGATTGCTTCTTATATTGGTGGTCAAGGAGAAGATTGCTTCTTACATTGGTTGTCACTGAGAAGAATGCTCCTTACATTGGTGGTCAATGAGAAGAATGCTTCTTACATTGGTGGTCATTGGGAAGAATCCCCTCTTACAGATAGTTAAAGAGATGATTGGTGTCAGTGTGAGCAGAAAATGCACACAGCTCAAGGAACCCCTAGCAACCTCTGGAGGAACCATAGATTTCCATTTAAACATACATATGAACATCGAATTCCAATAAAGGGAATGTGAATGAGAACAATATGGGTCAGAGATATGCCATTTACTCACAGCTGGCGGGAGAGGGAAACTTGTCGTCTTCTGTGCAGTCGGTAATGGAGACCCGGCAATTGCCATGGCGACGGTCTGACTGATGGTGCCGCTGTCTGCGTCCACTTCATCTGCCATAGTAGAGGCATGACGCACCCTCTGGGCATGTGGCTCTGCTAATAAAGGATGGGAGTATTAGTCTTTGTACTTGCAGCAACCACATTACACTCTCATATTACAGTTAGAACAAGTGTACCCATCTGCCAGGGCATCACAAAGGTCCCAACTGCATTGCAAAAAAAGGCTTTGGTTGGCAATATATTGAGCACATTTTAAAAGAATTCTATATTGTGTAATTATATATATCTATGGAAGCACAACCTAGATGGACAACCCATTTTAGAACCGTAGGACATTATTATAGAATTGGCCCTTTCCTCTTTGTTCCGTGACTACAGTGGTCTCAACACGATTTTGCAGATTGTCTATATGGGATTCATTTATTTTAAATTTCTTTAGCTCCATTCTCCCTGGGTACTAAAACCACCTATCAAACGCACCTATCTTAGGCAAGCTCAGTAAAATATCATACTGGGGCCAATTTTATACAGAATTTATTTATTATATAGGTACTTGTATAGCGCCGTCAATTTACGTAGCGCTTACACACACACACACACACACACACATATATATATTACATTCACATCAGTCCCTAATCCTCAAGGGGCGTACAATCTAAGGTCCCTAAGTCACATTCATATACTAGGGCCAATTTAGACAGGAGCCAGTTAACCTACCGGCATGTCTTTGGAGTGTGGGAGGAAGCCAGAGTACCCGGAGGAAACACACGCAGGCATAGGGAGAACATGCAAACTCCAGGCAGGTGGTGCTGTAGTTGGGATTTGAACCAATGACCCTAGTACTACCAGGCAGAAGTGCTAACCATTTAGACACTGTTCTGCCCCGGTAGCCAAATAACCTACTAGCATTTTGTGGGAGTGTAGGAGAACAGGGTACTCGAAGGAAACTCAAACAAGTACATGAAGAACAAGCAAACTCCATGCAGATAGTGTCCTGGCTGGGATTCAAACCAAGGACCTCAGTGCAGCAAGGCACGAGTACTAACCACTAATGCAGAAAAGCATTTCTGAGGTTGGGTGCTGATATCGGACAAGAAGCTGTGGCTTTCAGTCAGTGTTTTCATTTATACCAAAGGTGATCAGTAGGGTTGAGATCCGGGCTCTATGCAGGTCACTGGAGTAACTCCGCACCAAACCCTGTCTTTGTGGAGATGGCTTGGTGCACAGTCATGCTGGAACAGAAAAGGACCATCTCCAAACTGTTCCCTCATGGTTGAAAGAAAAGTTGTCTAAAACGACATCTGAATTCAATCAACATAAGGTGTATCTAAAATCTTTTTTAGGACATTAAAGCGGAGTTCCACCCAAAAGGGGACGTTACGCTTTAAAGACTGCTCCCCCGCTCCCCATTAAGGATTGGCACCTTTGAAATCCGGGGGGGGGGGGGGGGGGGGGGTCCAATCACCAAGGCGATCGGAAGTGGAAGGTGTCCTCTGTCCCTCCCTCCCTGTAGTCTTTTGGGACATGTGACAGGTCCCAGAAGACTACAGGACCATTCAGGAAGCGCAGTGCTACTCGCGCATGCACAGTGGGTATCCGGCTGTGAAGCCGAAAGCAGTCAAAGCCGGGTGTCCACACCGAAGATGCCGGCGCCTGGAATACAGGACGGCCGATGAAACGGGCTGCAGGGGACACACCATGGGACCAAGGGGACAGGTAAGTGGCTGTTTTTTTAAAAGTCAGCAGCTACAGTTTTTTTTTACTTTTATTTTTTGACAGGGTGAGCGGAACTCCGCTTAAAGTGTATTCTGCTGAACTTTTTAAAGTGCAAGTTCACCTTTTCAGAAAAAAAAATGAAAAGATGAAAAATGTACACGCCTCCCCACCGCCCATCCCCGCTCTACATACCTCGGTAGTTGATGAGCTGTAAGTGCTCACCTAGTGCAGCAGTCTGTGGATTTTAAATCCTCCTTCTTCTCTGAGCGGGGCTGCTGGGATGGATCAGAGTGATTCTGATTGGTAAGTACCAGCACAGAGCATCACTCTGATCCATCCTGGAAGTGCTGCAGGCAGAAGAGGGAGAAAAACAGGCATTTCAAATCCCAGGACCGCTCCATAGGCTGCGTGGGCACTGACACAGAGGTAAGTACATCGAGGACTGGGTGGGTTTACGGTGTTGGCTCACCTTTCATTTTTTTCTGAAAAGGTAAACTAACCATTCTGCATGAGGGACAACCACAAAGTCCAGATCTGGCTGTACAGAAAATGGAAAACTCAGAGGCTCCATCCGCCATAACAGTTTGAAAATATCTGCAATTTCCCACAAATTGACTCAAGCGGTTCAGCCTCGGCAGCATAAATCACATGTCCCCTTTAAACATGACGGATCCGATTTGTCTGTGAAATTGGGCCTGTGAGGGGAGCTGGAGGGAGCCAAGATTGTCGGTTCCAGGAATCCATCTGTCAAAGGCTTGGCAGCCCCCGGAGGTGACACATGTCTCTGGATCGCAGCCTCTCGGCTTATCAGTAAAGTGTGTTAAATGGATATTCACCCGTGAAGTCATACAGATGGGGGAGAGTTTCCATGACGATGCCAATCAGAGGGAGATAAAGTCGGGAAATGCTCTGTTTGACCTCCGGCTCGGAGTAGCGCGGGTCCATGTCGTGGCTGCAGAGGAGGTTGTGCAGGGTGCTGATGGCTTTCTTCTGCAGGAAAAACACTCTGTGGAGAGGAAAAGAACATATGTCTACCTAGATATTATTATTATTATACAGGATTTATATAGCGCCAACAGTTTGCTCAGCGCTTTACAATATAACGGGAGACAATACAGCAACAATACAGTTCAATACAAGAGGGTTAGGAGGGCCTGATCCTTGGAGCTTACAATCTAAGAAATCATCTATATCAGCGGTTCTCATCCTGTGGGTCGTGACCCCTTTGGGGGTCGAACGACCCTTTCAAAGGGGTCGCCTAAGACCATCGGAAAACACATATTTCCGATGGTCTTAGGAACCGAGACACCGCTGTCAAGACACGTGTCAATCACACCTGGGCACGCCCCCCCTCTCTGGGTAGGGGGATTTAACTCCCTCTGCCTTTGCTGATTGGTAGACCAGTCCATCCCTGATTGGTCGGGTTTTGTGCCGGAACGCGCGCAGCTGTTTGAAGCGGAGGATTTGTGCGGAGATCTCCCGCCGCTCCGATCATTCCGAAGTTTCCCGCACTGAATGACCCGACCAACCGTCCCCATGAACTGCCTGAACGTGGCCGATGTCATGCCTGGATCACCCAACAAGATCAGGGCAGATCCAGGTTAGTGCCTACCCCATTGTACAGTGGCAGGGGCTCTCATTGTACCCCACCCCAGATAAATTATTATGGGGGGCAGAAATATAATTTATGGGGGTGATAAATTATTATAGAGGGGGAGAAGGGCATACAAACTATCATTTGGGGGGGCATTTTTTTATAGGGATGAGGGGCAGATTATTTGGGGGGGTAATCATTATTATTGGGGGCAGATTTATTTTTATTGAGGTGTTAGGTCATTATAGAGGGGAGTGGAGTAATCATCATTATTGGGGGGCAGATTTATTTTTATGGGGGTGATAGGTCATTATAGAGGGGGGTGGGGTAATCATCATTATTGGGGGGCAGATGTATTTTTATGGGGGGTGATAGGTCATTATAGAGGGGGGTGGGGTAATCATTATTAGGAGGCAGATGTATTTGTATGGGGGTGATAGGTCATTATAGAGGGGGGTGGGGTAATCATCATTAATCGGGGGCAGATGTATTTTTATGGGGATGATAGGTCATTATAGAGGGGGGTGGGTAATCATCATCATTGGGGGCAGATGTATTTTTATGGGGGTGATAGGTCATTATAGAGGGGGGTGGGTAAGCATCATCATTGGGGGCAGATGCATTTTTATGGGGGTGATAGGTCATTATAGAGGGAGTGGGGTAATCATAATCATTGGGGGCAGATGTATTTTTATGGGGGTGATAGGTCATTATAGAGGGGGGTGGGTAATCATCATCATTGGGGGCAGATGCATTTTTATGGGGGTGATAGGTCATTATAGAGGGGGGTGGGTAATCATCATCATTGGGGGCAGATGCATTTTTTGGGGGTGATAGGTCATTATAGAGGGGGTGGGGAAATCATCATTGGGGGCAGATGTATTTCTTTGGGGGTGTGATAGGTCATTATAGAGGGGGGTGGGGTAATCATTATTGGGGGGCAGATTTATTTTTATGGGGGTGATAGGTCATTATAGAGGGGGGTGGGGTAATCATTATTGGGGCCAGATGTATTTTGATGGGGGTGATAAAAATATTTCCAAATATATAATTACATATTGTTTTTTGTGATTAATCACTATGCTTTAATTATGTTCAATTTGTAACAATGAAAATACATCCTGCATATCAGATATTTACATTACGATTCATAAAAATAGCAAAAATTACAGTTAGCAACGAAAATAATTTTATGGTTGGGGGTCACCACAACATGAGGAACTGTATTAAAGGGTCACGGCATTAGGAAGGTTGAGAATCACTGATCTATATGGAGCCAGCAGAGTACTCTGTGCTCTACAGAACAACTACAAACTCTCCTTTACATCGAGCGTACTCAGGGGCGGACTGACCATTTGGGGACTGCCCGAGGGCCCGGTGTCAGTAGAGGGCCCCATGAGATGCCCCTGGTACCTTTCATAGGCTTTTTTGGGTGTGGTTTGAGTGTGGGCGAGGACACAGGGGCCCCATTATCCCACGAGTTGTCAGTCCGCCCGTGAGCGTACTACAGCACACACCCGTGCAAGGGCCAAATTTATCCACACGGGGATGCACAGTTGTTCCCTGCATCCCCATTCAAGTTAATTGGGATCAGGGGCGGACTGACAACTCATGGGGCCCACGGGCAATAGGGGATCATGGGGCCCCTGTGTCCTTGCCCAAACTCCAAAAAGTCTATGAAAAACGTACCAGGGGCATCTCATGGGTCCCCCTACTGACCCCGGACCCTCAGGCAGTGCCCGAGTTTCCAAATGGTCAGTCCGCCCCTGATTGGGATCCAGCACCAGCACAGATGTCCAATAGAGAGCAGTAGCTGTGTCCATGAAGCTCCAGCATCCCAACAGACATCAATGAGACTGCCTGCACAGGGATGCATGGAACACCTGTGCATCCCCGTGTGGGTAAATTGGGCCCTTGCACGGGTGTGTGCTGTAGTACGCTCGATGTAAAGGAGAGTTTGTAGTTGTTCTGTAGAGCACAGAGTACTCTGCTGGCTCCATATAAATGATCTCTTAGATTGTAAGCTCCAAGGAGCAAGCAAAGCCCTCACTCTAGTACGCCCTGTGTGCACAAGCCTTAGACAAAATATGATCAATGGAAGAAAAACAAATCTGCTGAATGAGATAGATAAGGGGTCCAATACCATTAGATGGCAGTCAAAAGATTGCTTTATTATAGGAAGGGGTTCTTTACAGTAAGAGCAGTTAAAGTTGAACAAGAGCTGATTTGGATAGAATGAGGAAGGCTGTAACCGGTCAGGTTTGTGTAGTGGTCTGTGCCCCTACTGGGGATATTTTCTGATGCTTCCTATCTCAATATTCACACCTGAGGTGTGGTCATTGAGAGAGACCGTAACAAACAAGCAGTAGGAGCCCTGCGTGGTCCAAAACAGTCTACTTTAGGTGATCTACTTGTGACACTGTATAGCACTGCATATGACTGCCATTCCTAGCTTTCATTTTTGCATTAAATCCATCAAAAAGTATATATTTGTTTTCTGGAAGCAGAGACCCCGGAGAATAAAATGCTAGCAGCTGCAATTTTTTTGTGTCTCACAATAGAGTATTTGCGCAGCTATTTATTTTTCTGGAAAAAATACACTAAAATGAGTTATAGTGTAAACAAACATAATATTATACCCAATTTGTTTGGTAAAATATAAAAGATGGGATTGCATGGAGTAAACAGATACCAGACACGTCAAGCCTTACAACTGCGCACAACCATGAAAGGCCTCATGCACGCTGGTCATTTGCTCAACTCCCCAGAACACCTTTTATCTTTGCAGAAGAAAATCTGCTTTAAAAAACGCTCCTAAAGCCACGTTTTGCATATGCGTTTAGGTGCGTCAAGTGTTTGAACGTTTATGGATTTCATTGGCTAGAATATCAATTTATCTTGGCTACTGGAATGAATGAACACTCAAGTGCCAAACGCTTGTAGCATTTTAGACGCATTTATGATCAATCTGAATTTAATAAAGTTTTGTAAACAATACAGAAAAATAAGGAAGCATTCACACAAGCAAGAACATTGGAGGGATATAAAACTAAACAAACAGAAAACACACAAAAAAAAAAAACCAATACAGAATGAGGGCAGGGGAAGGGGAGGAAAATAGGATAGGCAAGTAGGGCTAAAAGCAATCAAAAGCTGAAATATGCTGGTGCTCAGTATCGTCAATGACAAAATCTAAGGCACATTGCAGGTAGACTGGTTATACAAGCAATAAAAAAAGAAAAAAACCCTGCGAGAGGAGGCACCATAAAGAGAAATAGATGTCAGCCCAGGGGAAGGAGAGATGCCCCCCCCCCACACCCAGGAAAAGGAGAAAAGTAAGAATAAAAAAAAAGAGGGGAGGAGGGGAAAGGGAAGAGGAGGAAAAAGAAAAAGAAGAATAGACCTGCCTGAGGTAAGGCACCAAGTGGGACAACAAACCAGTAAGGACCAAAAGGGAAGGAAACATTTAGACGCATTTAAATGCATTTAAGCGCATCACGTCATTTTTTTGCCCAAAAGCTCCTCTCCTGAATGCTCTAGCGGTGTTTTTTTGTTTCTGCCTGTTAATGCTCCTATTCTAAAATGACAATAAATGCCTACGTGTGCATGGGCACACAGGCCAATGTAGAGGTGTGCTTACAGGCATAAAAATATGGAGTACGTACAGGGGTGGGGGGGATTTAACATTTATTATTTTATATATTTTATCATTCATTTTTGTAAAACTTATTTCTCTTCATTTCACTTAGTTACTATCACAAAGGGGCTAGCAAGCCCTCCATGTGATAACACAGGTCCACTTTATAGAGACACCATGGGTCTGTCCAAACAGAGGGTCAGGGGTTCTGCAGCCCCATAGGAAAACTCCTCCTACAAGCTTTAACCAGTGCTCTGCTGGACACTGATAGAAGTCACAGGACTGCTCTAACTGCTAATGAGAAAATGTGTTTAGCAGTTTATATTTACTAAAATAATTTAATTTCCATGTTCTGTGTACTGTGGTAGACCAGATATAGTGAATGCAGGATCCGGGGAGACCAGATATAGTGAATGCAGGGTCATGGGAGACCAGATATAGTGAATGCAGGGTCCGGGGAGACCAGATATAGTGAATGCAGGGTCCGGGGAGACCAGATATAGTGAATGCAGGGTCCGGGGAGACCAGATATAGTGAATGCAGGGTCCTGGGGAGACCAGATATAGTGAATGCAGGGTCCTGGGGAGACCAGATATAGTGAATGCAGGGTCCGGGGAGACCAGATATAGTGAATGCAGGGTCCGGGGAGACCAGATATAGTGAATGCAGGGTCATGGGAGACCAGATATAGTGAATGCAGGGTCCGGGGAGACCAGATATAGTGAATGCAGGGTCCGGGGAGACCAGATATAGTGAATGCAGGGTCCGGGGAGACCAGATATAGTGAATGCAGGGTCCTGGGGAGACCAGATATAGTGAATGCAGGGTCCTGGGGAGACCAGATATAGTGAATGCAGGGTCCGGGGAGACCAGATATAGTGAATGCAGGGTCCGGGGAGACCAGATATAGTGAATGCAGGGTCCTGGGGAGACCAGATACAGTGAATGCAGGGTCCGGGGAGACCAGATACAGTGAATGCAGGGTCCTGGGGAGACCAGATACAGTGAATGCAGGGTCCTGGGGAGACCAGATATAGTGAATGCAGGGTCCTGGGGAGACCAGATATAGTGAATGCAGTGTCCTGGGGAGACCAGATATAGTGAATGCAGTGTCCTGAGGAGACCAGATATAGTGAATGCAGGGTCCTGGGTTTAGTAACACATTAAAGTATCCCCTGTTCCCAACTGCAGCTAATCAAGCACAGATCATAGTTGATTAGCTACATACATTAGCCGAGGAATGACAGCTGTGACCCCGGAAGTGATGGATACAGGTTAATTCAGGGTTCAAAAGTTACAAATGATTCCCTGATCACCTCCTGTTCTAACTGTTGAAGCCGTTTTCCTGCAGTCCCAGGCTCCACGAAGGGTAGTTTGAGAAGCACTGTGGGCCCTATTGGCAGGGGGCATGGTTTCAGAGCTCCATAAAAGTGATTGGGTAGCTCTAGAACAGCCCGGATCACTTTTATCTGAAAGTCACTGGCTGTCAAAGTTAGAACCAAGCTCACAACTGCAGCAGCAACCATGCGCTTGCTTTAACCCCTTGCTTATCATGCCCTTTATTAAAGTACCTTGGCAAACGTGGTTAAAGTGTGTGGGTGTGTGTATATATATATATATATATCTCCACTAAGTCAGAAATATGGGGCTGTCTCCCTTTTCATTGTAAAGTGCTGCACAAACTGTTGGCACTATATAAATCCTGTATAATAATAATAATAATGTTACTAACACCTATGCATTAACTTGTATTTTTGATCTTTACACTGTATGGCTGTGTACATTGGTTTGTGCAATTTTTACGCCCATACCTTTTCCATATTGAATGTATCTGTATACTGATGGCTCTGTGTCTGTTTGACTGAACATTAACAAAACCTTTGTAAAAGAAAATGCTAGTTGCCTGTTCTAGCCCCCTATAGCCGCAATACCTTCCACGTCACTGACCGGAAACAAGTATGCTGACCATTAGAGTCACAAAAATGACAAAAGCTCTGATCTGAATACTTGCTTCCGGTTAGTGGCTCAAAGCATTAAACAAAGAGGGTCACGCATGAAGGCCAGACAGGCGACCACCATATTTTCTCACAATGGATTTCCTTTCAAGTAAGCCTGCTGTGAGACATATGGGGCAATCGTGCCAACTGGCTCTTGCAAGATTCTAGTTGCCTGGTTATCTCTGGCTACAATACATTCTGAGCCATTGATACGGAATAAATGGAATAAACATACAAACTGGGAAAATCAGAAGTCTTTATCTGCATACGTTTTCAAGTCAGAGAATTAGAGCATTGAAGCCAAAATGGTCATCATGGCAGATTTCCTTTAATCCAGCTGTGTGATTGTAATGATTGGTGGTCCTACCATTCAGGTGGGGCAGCAGGTAGGTAAAAGATAAAAGGTTAGCCATATCAGAGTGGAGGGTAGCAACAACTGATACACAAGCGGTCATGCTGGAATAAAAGGACAGTAAGCGGACCCTGGAACTCACCCTTCCACGTCGGGCTCCAGTATCAGGGAAAGCTCAGTCAGGATCAGGCCAGATAGGAAGTGCTGCTGTCTGAATGGTACTGACAGCTCAAACATATTAGTGATGGTCTTGTCCTGGGCTGGGCTGGAAAGCATGGAGCTCTGAAGGAAAGAGGAAGAAAGGAACCATTACAGAGATTTCTGAAGACAGCTTTCCACAGTCCTTAGTACTTACAGTGGATCTTTACTCTCTCAATCAGCATTGACTATTTTGAATCCTTATGCTGCTATCATTAGTAAAAAAGATGGGAAAGTATATCAGATTTACTGGTTTTTATATTTCTTTAGTTATTTCCGGATTTCCAGGCCTAGGTAAATGATGTCATACAGCCCTGGAGTCTTCAGGAGGGGTTGTCTCAGCTATGCACACCCGGCTGTCTGCATGCCTGAGCTAAGGCCAGATGGATTCCAGGAAGTAAATCCTGCATGAATCATGAAAACTCCTCCTACAAGCTTTAACCAGTGCTCAGCTGAACACTGATAGAGGGCACAAGACTGCTCTAACTGCTGTTGAGAAAATATATTTAGCAGTTTTGATTTACTAAAATAATTGCACTTCCATGTTCTGTGTACTGTTGGAGACCAGATATAGTGAATGCAGGGTCCGGGAAGACCAGATGTAGTGAATGCAGGGTCTGGGGAGAGCAGATATAGTGAATGCAGGGTCCGGGGAGACCAGATATAGTGAATGCAGGGTCCGGGGAGACCAGATATAGTGAATGCAGGGTCCGGGGAGACCAGATATAGTGAATGCAGGGTCCGGGGAGACCGGATATAGTGAATGCAGGGTCTGGGGAGACCGGATATAGTGAATGCAGGGTCCGGGGAGACCAGATATAGTGAATGCAGGGTCCGGGGAGACCAGATATAGTGAATGCAGGGTCCGGGGAGACCAGATATAGCGAATGCAGGGTACGGGGAGACATGATATAGTGAATGCAGGGTCCGGGGAGACCAGATATAGTGAATGCAGGGTCCGGGGAGACCAGATATAGTGAATGCAGGGTCCGGGGAGACCAGATATAGTGAATGCAGGGTCTGGGGAGACCAGATATCGTGAATGCAGGGTCCGGGGAGACCAGATATAGTGAATGCAGGGTCCGGAAAGACCAGATATAGTGAATGCAGGGTCCGGGGAGACCAGATATATAGTGAATGCGGGGTCCGGGGGGAGACCAGATATAGTGAATGCGGGGTCCGGGGAGACCAAATATAGTGAATGCAGGGTCCGGGGAGACCAGATATAGTGAATGCAGGGTCTGGGGAGACCAGATATCGTGAATGCAGGGTCCGGGGAGACCAGATATAGTGAATGCAGGGTCTGGGGAGACCAGATATCGTGAATGCAGGGTCCGGGGAGACCAGATATAGTGAATGCAGGGTCCGGAAAGACCAGATATAGTGAATGCAGGGTCCGGGGAGACCAGATATAGTGAATGCAGGGTCCGGAAAGACCGGATATAGTGAATGCAGGGTCCGGGGAGAGCGGATATAGTGAATGCAGGGTCCGGGGAGAGCGGATATAGTGAATGCAGGGTCCGGGGAGAGCGGATATAGTGAATGCAGGGTCCGGGGAGACCAGATATAGTGAATGCAGGGTCCGGAAAGACCAGATATAGTGAATGCAGGGTCCGGGGAGAGCGGATATAGTGAATGCAGGGTCCGGGGAGAGCGGATATAGTGAATGCAGGGTCCGGGGAGAGCGGATATAGTGAATGCAGGGTCCGGGGAGAGCGGATATAGTGAATGCAGGGTTCGGGGAGAGCGGATATAGTGAATGCAGGGTTCGGGGAGAGCGGATATAGTGAATGCAGGGTTCGGGGAGAGCGGATATAGTGAATGCAGGGTCCGGGGAGAGCGGATATAGTGAATGCAGGGTCCGGGGAGAGCGGATATAGTGAATGCAGGGTCCGGGGAGAGCGGATATAGTGAATGCAGGGTCCGGGGAGAGCGGATATAGTGAATGCAGGGTCCGGGGAGAGCGGATATAGTGAATGCAGGGTCCGGGGAGAGCGGATATAGTGAATGCAGGGTCCGGGGAGAGCGGATATAGTGAATGCAGGGTCCGGGGAGACCGGATATAGTGAATGCAGGGTCCGGGGAGAGCGGATATAGTGAATGCAGGGTCCGGGGAGAGCGGATATAGTGAATGCAGGGTCCGGGGAGAGCGGATATAGTGAATGCAGGGTCCGGGGAGAGCGGATATAGTGAATGCGGGGTCCGGGGAGACCAGATATAGTGAATGCAGGGTCCGGGGAAAGCGGATATAGTGAATGCAGGGTCCTGGGAGACCAGATATAGTGAATGCAGGGTCCTGGGAGATTGGATATAGTGAATGCAGGGTCCTGGGAGACCGGATATAGTGAATGCAGGGTCCTGGGTTTAGTAACACTAAGTCTAGGTCTTCATGATGTTTAGGACATTAGTGGAGAAGTGTCCCAAAGTCCTCGTATAGCCACAACAGGCAAGTGGTTTGGAGGAAGGCCAAGGCACAAATACAGGGTTCCTTTAGTTCTTCATATCTTTCTGTGAGGAAGCCAATGGATAACTCACAGCACAGAAAAACTGTATGGCATGCCCACTAGGGAATTCTCAATAAAAAAAAAACAAATGCAATTCTTATTCAGGCAATAATATCTGCCCGTCTTTTAGTAAAGTTCTCAGCAGTTTCCTAGTGACCTTCCTAGGGCCCATGACAGCTGTAAACCCCTGACCCAACCTTCCTTTCCCTATATGAATAAGTCCATTTGTCTGGTGTTATGTTTAATGTAGCACCTTTGTACCTGAGATGTGGTGGAGGAGATGGAGGGCGAGGGAGAATTGGGTGGTGACAGGCGGCTGCAGGGCAAGTTTAAGGGGACATAGTGTTCATGTGAGCACACGATGCGGATAAAATCCATACGCAGAGAGATCAGCACATTCGGGTTCTGGGCCTTTGACAATTTATTGTTTATCTGTAAAACAGAAGACATACGTAGTGTCATACATGATGCATAAAGGTTTGTCAGTTTAAAAATGATGCATTTAAGGTGAACTCAATTTTCAGCTTAAATCAGCAAAATACATTTCAGGAGCAGCAGCAGAAAAGGAGTGCAAAGTCTTACAAATTGTTTTCCTTATTAACCACTTGCCCTCCAGAGGATTTACCCCCCTTCCTGACCAGACTATTTTTTGCGATACAGTGCTGTGTTAACTGACATTTGCATAGTCATGCAACGACCGCGCCTAAATGAAATTTATGTCCTTTGTTTCCAACAAATAGAGCTTTCTTTTGGTGGTATTTGATCGACTGTGCGGTTTCCATTTTTTGCACTATAAACAAAAAAAGACCGACAATTTTGAAAAAAAACTATATTTTTGACTTTTTGCTATTAAACATGTCCAGTAAAAAAATTAAATTTTGTCATAAATTTAGGCCAACATGTCTTTGCTGAAAAAAAAAATCCCAATACGTGTATATTAATTGGCTTACGTGAACGTTTATAGCGTCTACAAATGGCAGTATATATACTGGAATTTTTTATTTTTATTTTTTTTACAAGTTTTGGCGGCGATCAGTGACTTATAGAGGGACTGCAGCGGGCATTCTGACACTTGGGGGAAACTGACTCGGTGTCACTGACATCCCCAGTGACACCAATACAGTGATCAGTGCTAATAAAAAGCACTGACATTGTACTAATGGCACTGGGAAGGAAGGAGTTAACATGTGGGGCGATCAAAGGGTTAACTGTGTGTTGTTTTTACTGAGGCTGTGTTTCACTGTAAGCACACTGCTTTATATGGCGCTGCTATGCAGAGCCATACAAAGTAGTGTGCTGGAGTTGACAGGGAAAAGATCTGTATTGTTTACATACAGGTCTCTCCCCTCGTAGGAAATCTCGGAGATCACCGGGGAATCACCAGCCAGGACCTGGTGATTGACAGCCGAGGACGTGAACGGCAACGCCCCCTACCCGGAACTGCAAAATCATATACATATACACGGCATGGAAGTGGTTAAGCATGCTTTTTTTTATAACTACAATGGGGAAAAAGGTTCCATAAGCAATCTGAATGTGTGCATTATGCATCTATAGAGTGTGTGTGTGTGTGTGTATATATATATATATATATATATATATATATATATACACACAGTTGCAAGAAAAAGTATGTGAACCCCATGGGATTACGTGGAGTTTTGCATGAATTGGGCATAAAATGTGCTCTGAACGTCATCTAAGTCACAACAATAGAAGAACACAGTCTGCTGAACATAATACTACACAAACATTAGATGTTGCCATGGTTTAATTGCACATAACATGTAAACATTCACAGTGCAGGGAGGAAAAGGTATGTGAGGCCCTAGCTTAATGACTTCTCCCAGAGCTAATTGGAGCCAGGAGTGAGCCAACCTTGACTCCAATCAGTGTGATGATATTGGATGTGTTGCTGACAGCTGTCCTGCCCTTAAAAAAACACACACCTGTTTTGGTTTTACTGGTTTCAAGAAGCACTGTCTGATGTGAACCATGCCTCACAGAAAAGAGCCCTCAGAAGACCTACCATCAAGAATTGTTGACTTGCATGAAGCTGGAAAGGGTTACAAAAGTATCTCCAAAAGCCTTGATGTTCATGTGTCCACAGTAAGACAGACTGTCTACAAATGGAGAAAGTTTAGCACTGTTGCTACTCCCCCTAGTCATGGTCGTCCTGTAAAAATGACTGCAAGAGCACAGCGCAGAATGCTGCATGAGGTAAAGAAGAATCCCAGAGTGTCAGCTAAAGACCTACAGAAATCTCTGGCACATGCTAACATTTTTGTTGACACATCTACAATAAGGAAAACATTAAACAAGAATGGAGTACATGGGAGGACACCACGGAGGAAGCCATTGCTGTCCAAAAAGAATATTGCAGCACATTTGAAGTTTGCAAAAGAGCACCTGGATGTTCCACAGCACTACTGGCAAAATATACTGTGGGCAGATGAAACCAAGATTGAGTTGTTTGGGAAGAACACACAACACTATGTGTGGAGAAAAAAAGGCACAGCACACCAACATCAAAACCTCATCCCCACTGTAAAACATGGCGGAGGGAGCATCATGGTTTGGGGCTGCTTTGCTGCCTCAGGGCCTGGATGGATTGTTGTCATTGATGGGAAAATGAATTCCAGAGTTTATCAAGACATTTTGCAGGAAAACGTACGACCATCTGTCCGCCAACTGAAGCTCCACAGAGGATGAGTGATGCAACAGGACAATGACCCAAAGCATACAAGTAATTCAACAAAACAATGGCTGCAACAGCACAGAATACGCCTTCTGGAGTGGCCCAGTCAGAGTCCTGACCTCAACCCGATTGAAATGCTGTGGTATGACCTTAAGAGAGCGATTCACACCGGACATCCCAATAATATTGCTACACTGAAACAGTTTTGTGAAGAGGAGTGGTCCAAAATGACTCCAGATCGTTGTGCAGGTCTGATCTGCAACTACAGGAAACGTTTGGTTGAGGTTATTGCTGCCAAAGGAGGGTCAACCAGTTATTAAGTCCAAAGGTTCACATACTTTTTCCTCCCTGCACTGTGAATGTTTACATGTTATGTGCAATTAAACCATGGCAACATCTAATGTTTGTGTAGTATTATGTTCAGCAGACTGTGTTCTTCTATTGTTGTGACTTAGATGACGTTCAGAGCACATTTTATGCCCAATTCATGCAAAACTCCACGTACTCCCAAGGGGTTCACATACTTTTTCTTGCAACTGTATATATATATATATATATATATATATATATATATATATATATACACACACACACACATACATATATATATATATATATATATATATACACACACACACATACATACACACGCACATATATACATATACACATAAACACACATATATATAATATATACACACACTATATAGTCACTTGTGGACTGCCCACCCGCAATGTACTACGGACAGGCGGCCCATGCAGGCAAAGTGACGTACTGGTACGTCGCTGTCTGCTTCTGCATTTTGGGCATGCACACGCACAACATGATGTTGTTGCAAGTGTGATACCGTGTGAACCATGTCTGAACCCAGAAGGCTTGCAAGGTCAGGGCAAACTTTGGAGACCATCATCTGCCACGGGGTGGAGCCATGCACAGACACACGACGCACGCACACACGCACGCACGCACACACACAGATTTCTTGCTATAGTGAGAGATAACCATCAACAAGGTGCATCTGCTGCATTGCAGAGGCCTACCTTCTTAAAAAAAAAAATGGAGCTGCCTGCCCATCAACTTCCACAAAACACATAAAAACACTCCATTACAGCGATCAGTGCAATGTGAAACTTTTATAGTTCAGGAGAGGTTTGGCTAAATCTCTAAGAACTTCCAAGAAGTTATATTAAAGAATTCTGTAATTGAAAAAGGCCAATAAATATGATAAATGCCATTGATCCTGCCATGTATTTACCTGCTTATAATATGAGCGTATGAGAGCAAACACAAAGGCACGATCCATTAGGGACAAAAGATCATTGAGGAAGAAAGCAAGACTGCTGTTAAGACGTTCAGCCAGCTCGGTATCCTGTGCAGGAAAAAAAAGTTATATGTAAATATATACGTTAGGAAAGGAGAAAAAAAGTAAGACCAGTGAATGAAATGTTCAGGACCTTGAGGTATCGGCTGGCGATCTCCGTACAGACGTTGCACACCAGGGCGGATATATCGTCCACAAATCTTTCTGGGAAGCGTTGTTTTCTGGGTGCGTCTAGTCGCTCGGAGTTATAGAGGTGCAGAGACATGCTCTTTGTCTGAGGACGGGGAAAACAGGCATGACATATAAATCTGGTACATATACAGGGAGAATGATGGCAACCAAAAAAAAAAGTGGAACTCCACAAAAGTGTTATTTGAATATGTTTGTTATTTTACAAGCGGTCTCTAAGCACCTCTGCAAACACTCAATAAAGTCCCATCTCTTCTGCGATAAGGGAAAAGAAGGGGCACCTCCTTCCCACAATGCAATACTCAGGAGTAACCCACCGCCAAGATGGAAGACTGCTGTGTGCAAGTGGAAGAAGGAGCTCTTGATTAAGCAAGATTTTCGGAAAGTCTATTTGCATTCCATATTAAGGAGCTCTGGTATGTTGCAAAAGGGTTTGCAGTAAAGCTGCAGGTTCACTCTTGCAATTTTTTGTGCCTTCTGTACAGAATCATGTTTGGTTTACAACATTTTTCTTGCATATAAGAATTTGTTAGGTCTGAGATTCATAATAAAGAAAAAGTCACCCACGTCTATCCATCCCACACTCTATTAGGTGGCCCCTCATGTTCTTCTATCACCTCCACCACTTACCATGAGCTGGAAGAAGAACCAAGCTTGACTCAGAGCCGCTTCTCGCACTGGACTGGCGCTCACCACCCACTGTAGGGCCAGTTCTTCATGCAATAGCTAGACACAACAAGCAACGGTCAGCCAGAAGGAATAAACCCACCAACATAATCTGCTATTTAACATTTGTGCTCTACCTAGCTGTGTCACAATGACATATCTTACCATTTCTAACTGCAAGTAACATAGCTACCCCTATGTGTGTCACCTTTGGTAGGAGGGACAGGCTCCATGTCATATAGCTTCTCCTGGGTGGTGTCACCTTTGGTAGGAAGGACAGACTCCATGTCACATAGCTTCTCCTGGGTAGTGTCACACTGTGGTGGTGGGGGGACAGGCTCTATGTCATATGGCTCCTCCTGGGTGGTAGCACCCCGTGGTGGGAGGAGCAGATTTCATGTCACATAGCTCCTCCTGTCTGTATCTCCCTTTGGTAGGAGGGACAGATTTCATGTCACATAGCTCCTCCTAATAATATCAACCTCTGTTGGGAGGGACAGACTTCATTTCACATAGCACCCTCTATTTGTGTCATTCTGTGGTGGGGGGGGGACAGGCTATGTCACATAGCTCCTTCTGGGTGGTGTCACCCTGTGGGAGGAGGAGCAGAATCCATGGCACATAGCTTCTCCTGTCTGTGTCACTCTTTGGCAGTAGGGACAGACTATATCACATAGCTCCTTCTGGGTGGTGTCACCCTGTGGTGGGAGGAGCAGACTCCATGTCACATAAATTCTCCTGTCTGTGTCACCCTATGGTGGGGGGGAACAGACTCTGTGTAACATGGCTCCTCCTAGGAGGTGTCACCCTGTGGTGGGAGGAGCAGACTCCATGGCACATAGCTTCTCCTGTCTGTGTCACTCTTTGGCAGTAGGGACAGACTATGTCATAGAGCTTCTCCTGGGTGGTGTCACCCTGTGGTGGGAGAACAGATTCCATGTCACATAGCTCCCTACTGTTTGTGTCCCCCTGTTGTGGGAGTACATACTTCATTTCACCTAACACCTCCTGTCTATGTCACCCTGTGGTGGGAGGCGCACGCTCCATGTCACATAGCTCCCCCTGTTTGTGTCACCCTGTGGTGGTGGTGGTGGTGGTGGGGGGCAGGCTCTATGTCACCTAGCTCCTCCTGGGTGGGGTCACCCATTGGTGGGAGGAGCAGACTCCATGCCACATACCTTCTCCTGTCTGTGTCACCCTATGGTGTGGGGAACAGACTATGTAACATGGCTCCTCCTGGGTGGTGTCACTCTGTGGTGGGAGGAGCATAATCTATGTCACATAGTTTCTCCTGTGTCACTCTTTGGCAGTAGAGACAGACTATGTAATATAGCTTCTCCTGGGTGGTGACACCCTGTGGTGGGAGAATAGACTCCATGTCCCATAGCTCCCTACTGTCTGGGTCATCTTGATTTTTTGGGAGGGGGGGCTAGCAGACTTCATTTCATCGAACACCTCCTGTCTATGTTACCCTGTGGTGGGAGGCTCCATGTCACATAGCTCCCCCTGTCTGTGTCACCCTCTGGTGGAAAGGAATGATACATCTTACTGCTTGCCAGTAATACTTTTTAACATTCATTTAAACCTTAGGAAATTAAACATGAAAAACACAAATCATATTAGTACCAAGTAGAGTGTTAATAATAGGTAAGATAATGGATGAAGCTCACATGCAATCACTAGATATTACCTATAAACAAACGTGTTCTTTAATTGCCTGCAACCGGAAGCCAATTAGTTGCCAGGTGAGGATTTTTTTTTTTTTTTTTTTAAATTTAGCTGCCCTGGCTACCTGGCTCCTGGACCTCTCCAATCCTAAATCAGCATCATTATAAAGACCTAATCTACAATAAACCATAACATGCATCAAACAGGGCGCAAATACCTTTTTAGCAGTGAGGCGAGGCTGGGTGGAGGACACTTCCCCCTCCACGTAGGTGGACATGCGATTTGGACTTCGCTCATTGTTCTATGGAGGAGTTAATAGGTGGCCGTAGAAGAGTTTGATGGTAAATGGAAGAAAAGGTGGAAGTGGGAAGCATGGAGGGGTTAGAAACAAGAAAGACAGATGAATGACAACCTATGACATGCAGAATAAACTACAGAAAAACTGAATCTAGATATAAAAGGGATCCTCAGAACAAATGAAAATCCTTTGCAATGCAGGGAGCTTTTTGCATTGAGGTGCTTTGTGTTAGGCCGCGTTCTTTTATTCTCAATGGCCTGTTAATGCACCTTAATGTTAGAAAAAATAAGTAAGTGTGCCATTTTTGTCTGTACAATGCATACGCACCAGTGCACCTTGGTGTGACATGACGCAGATGTGCTGCAGCATACTATAGATGTGCGCTGGGAGTGTAACTATTTTTTTGGCACATTTTCCATTCTTTACAACTATAATGGATGCAATTAACATGCAATAACGCACAAAACTGCTACACATGCTCCATGCAGCACACACCTCTGACCTATCCCTATAGCAATGAATGGAAACTCTTACATTTTCATACACTAATATGGACAAGAGTAAGCAGGCCCCAGAGACTGCTGAGCCGAATATGAAAATGGTGTAGTTTCATCCATATGCAGGGGCGGACTGACCATTTGGAAACTCGAGCACTGCCCGAGGGCCCAGGGTCAGTAGGGGGCCCCATGAGATACCCCTGGTACCTTTTTTTCATAGGCTTTTTTGAGTTTGGGCAAGGACACAGGGGCCCCATTGTCCCCTATTGCCCGGTGGCCCCATAAGTTGTCAGTCCGCCCCTGTCCATATGCAAGCTCATAAATACAACCTTAGTCTTTTTTTTTTTTTTTCCCCCGTGTGCAGTCCATATAATACATGATCACTGAGCTTACTGAACATACAACTCTTGGGGACCTAAAAGGTACATCTGAGGATAACCACGAAGGCTAGAAATGTCACAATGGCTTACAGATAAAGAAGGAGATGACTACACAGCTACAGGTGAAACAGGCGCAGAGGGCATGCAGAGAGAGGCTGGCACATGCATAACACAAGATAGGGGAAGTGCCACCTGTCTGAGCTCCGTGTTGGAGCTGGGTTGGGTCCGGCGCTGCACAGATTTCGGACCGCCTGGACAGTAAGCAGAATTCACCCAAGAGTGAGAGCGATCAATACCCTGCAGGAGACAGAATGCCCGGGAAAATAAAGGGGTGAGGACCCGCAAAGAACCCAACACAATGATCATTGGAAGAGGAGAAAACAAACCGAGGACATAAATCCAGAAGAGACAAAGCTCAGCTAGTGAAAGAGGCTCAGGATATAAAAAGGCATATAAATACATTAGTACAGAAAAGAGACAAATATTTGTATGCAAGTATTAAGTATTGTAGGGAAAAAACAATAAAAGGCACATAAACATCAATTTATGCAAGTTTGCTTTGCGGGTGATCCTGTTTGCCTTTTCCCACACAGCATGCTTCGAATGAAAAATCAAAGGAGCCAGCGGAAAATCGTTGGCTGAACAGCAGCTGTACCCAATACAATGTCCCAGCAGAGGGATTCATCCATCCGTACTATATAACACAGATGGAGGATTTTTTATTTATTTTTCTTTTCTACATTTCTCTATCAACTACTAATTTTCCTAACATATAATCTGGTTACCTCCAGGATGGTAGACTTAAAAATTCCCACTGTTTATGGACTGTTCACAAGTGTAATAAAAGCGCCACACTCTTAATACTTTAAAGCAGCAATTCCACCTCAAAGAAACCAAATAAATTTCTTAGTGCTATAACTTAAATAAAGGAATGCGCTAAAACCACAAACTATTCCTAATTTAGTGTAGAAACATTAGTGCAAAAGATATATATATATCTATTCTCAATTAATATAAAAAAAATCCTTTTCAAATTCAAGTGCTCTCAAAGAAATTGTGGTGGATTTTGGCACAATTTCTTTGAGAGCACTTGAATTTGAAAAGGATTTGTTTGGACATTTGAAGAAATTCAAAATTGGACAATTTTTATATTCACAATATTTAATTATGTAAATTACTTATGCACTAAAAAATAGTTTTGCACATAATTTTGATATTAATTGAGAATAGATATATATATCTTTTGCACTAATGTTTCTACACTAAATTAGGAATAGTTTGTGGTTTTAGCACATTCCTTTATTTAAGTTTATGGATTGTTGCCGATTTTCTTTTTAATAGGTTTTTTTTTAGAAAATCGCTCATTTCAACAAAATTTGTCCTTTTGGAATCTAAAACTTTTCAGTATATGATTTTTTTTTTCCCAATATCACATCGAAGACATTGGTGATCACCAGTACCTAAACTTTCTCCCACCACAATCTCAGACAATCCCCATTTGTAATTACCAGGTCTAGAATATGATCCCTTTATTTATTTATTTTTTTTACTATTTTACCCTTTTGATGCCTTCAACATATCTCTGCTCCTTGATAAATAAATAATGCAGCGCTGAAAATTCATAAAGTGACTGATGCATCAAATGTGAGCGCTAAATTGTGCTAAAGTGATCACAATGTAAATCAAGTGTACCGTCATGAACGGACGTAATAAATAGTGACTTATAAAACCATCGTGACTTCAGTGTGTAATTACTGAAATTATTCACATATAAAAAAAAATAGAAAAAACATATAACAGTCCAATTTTTCCGTGAAATCCGTGCACGTGACTTCCGCGATAAGGATCATTAGTGTGAAGGCCGGCGGCCATCTTTGTCCCTGTAAGTTTGTGCTGACAGCTGTTTGTGGATTCATCCTTTTCATACCAATAAAATACTACACTATCAGCACTTTATTGTTTTGTGGCTTGTGTTTAACGAGCCTTTTAAGGTGGAAACATCCTCTTTTGAGTTATTTTGTCCGGTGGTGAAGAAGTATCGAGGAGCCTGTATACTGAGAGGGTCCTGTGAGTGAGGTCTGGAGTTATGCCTTGTATGCTGTCTGTGTTTCAGATGATTCCTATTCCTTACCTGAACCCAGATGACCACAGAGGATAATATATACACATGTGCATTAATATTGCGCTTCTGGTGAGTGCAATCACACTACTGATCTTTATCACGGAAGTCACGTGCACGGATTTCACGGAAAAATTGGACCGTTATAGGTTTTTTTCCATATTTTATTTATATGTCAATTTCAGTAATTATACACTGAAGTCACGATGGTTTTATAAGTCACAATTACGTCAGTTCACGACGGTACACTTGATTTACACTGTGATCACTTTAACGCAATTTAGCGCTCACATTTGATGCAACGGTCACTTTATGAATTTTCAGCGCCTCATTATTTATTTATCAAGCTGTTCTGAGGATACAGAGGTTCATCCTGAATGATAGCTGCTATTGTTTAACCAGGCGTTCGCTTATTACCATTTTCTTATATCTCTGCTCCTGCTAGTAAGTTTAAAAACTCCAGTTAATAGCATGTCCCCCAAAATTAAAACCTCCCTGATAATTGTCATTTCACTTATCTTGCCAATCAACAGGATATCATAATCAGGGATGAGCTCAGTTGGGTTCAGACACGAGCCCAAACCCTCCTGAGCGATCCTGCTGTCAAAGCACACAACTATTATTAAGCGGCAGAGGAATTCCCTGCCCCACAGCCACATGTATACATGCCCTTTGCATATGGTGAGGCTTTTGGGCGGGGAGTGTTTCTGCAGCTTTGACAGCTTCCTGGTGGGATAGCTCATGTGGGTTTGGGCTCATGTCCGAACACACCTGAGCTCATCCCTATTCAATATCCTCAGCCTGACCTGAAGGCCTATAAACTAATTCTAAGGAAAGGCCCATCTCTGGTTTGTTTCTTCATTTGTGTTCATAACCACTTGCCGTCCGGCCGCTGTATATAAACGGCTGGACGGTGGCAGTCCAGGGGCAGGTTGCCCTTCATAATCGGCGCCCGCCATTTTGGACTGGGAGCGCACAACACTGCGATCTGCTGCCCGCTGTGTCCTTCAGACACAGTGGAACACCGATCGTCATACGGGACCTCTGTGCGAGGTCCTGATCATGTGATCACTGATTGGACAATCAGTGATCACATGCAGAGTAGTAAGCAAGATGTCACTTCTGACATCATTGCTTACTACGTGTGAAATCTGTGAATGATCACAGAAGTCACATGGTACAAGGCTATTCACAACAGCCTTGTACCATGTGACAAGCTGTGACCAATCACAGCTCACACAGTAGTTCTCAATGGCTGCAAGAATGCAGCCAGAAAGAAGGAAAAATGATTGCTTTACTAAGTATGCCATTCTAGACATAAATGGCAACTCCACTTCCCTCATTCTTACTCTGTTTCCTATAAGTGTGTACCCTGGTATAGTTATTTCCCAGTCATTTGAATCCCTGAACCATGTTGCTGTCCTAGTAATCCCCCAACATAACAGGACACAGCTCACGAAGCTTGGAACATTAGCACACATGAAGTGAAAACACTGCTATCTACAGCTCGATTTTTAAAAACCAAGGAAAGAAAAAGCCAAACAGACGGGATTTTCAATGCAGAAGAGACATACTATGTCTCTCCTGCATTAAAGTCCCTTACCTGTAGGAATAAGATGTAAAAAGGAAAAAGTGAGATATTGTCAAGAAAGTTTTGGATCCTTGTGGTCTCTGTTTTGTTTGATTACCATTTCTGTTAATTACGGGATCTGCGTATCCACGTTGTTCTATTTATGTGTAATCCTGCTGTTGCAGTAATGTCATTGTGGATTCTATCAGTACTGTTCCATTTTCTCTATTATCTTGACAATATAAGTTGTTTGGAGTAAAAAAAAAAAAAAGTAAAAAAAAAAAAAAGGCCCTTACCAGCCTGTACACCGAGTTGCGCGTGTGCAGTTCAGTGCACAATTTAAGCAACTGGGAGCTGAATGAAAACCTGCGAATGCGCAGGAATGATATTCTCTTGGTGCAGCCAATGAAAAGGACTACAGATCAATACCCAGAAGCCGCCGGGCTGAAGTTGTCAACTCAAACGACATACATCCACCATTTCCTGCGCTCAGGGGCTCAGATCAGAGGAACGATGTTAATGATGATATAGTATGTTCATCCAATACTGATCAAGGGTTGTGCAGCTCTGTCATGAAGCTGGGGAAGCTTGGTATAAACTGTAGCGGAGAACAAAAGAAAGAGTGCAACAACCTTGCGCATTACCTCAGTAAACAGTAGATGAATTTATTAATAAAATATACTCACAAGAATAGCAGTAAAATAGGCATATAATAACCATAGCCAACACAGGGTTACAGGTCACGTACAAGTTGCATCCAAAGGGGAGATAAACTCTTGTTCAAGAGAACGTATTTCGAAGGGTGATCCCTTCTTCATCAGAGCTGGATAAATACCGTATTTTTCGCCGTATAAGACGCACTTTTTCTTCCCCAAAACTGGGGGGGAAAAGTTGGTGCGTCTTATACGACGAATAGAGAGAGAATCCGTCAGGCGCGGCCACGGCCGTAGGAAGGGCCGCGGCTTTGGCCTATCTCTGGAGCGGTCGGCCATCTTAGTACACCCGGCGGTGCGCGCTGACGTCATCACCCCCTCTGCTCGTGGATCAGCCCTGAAGACCGGAACGGCGCGGGAACACGGCGAGAGGAACGCGCGGAGCAAAGGTAAGTGAATTGACACAATATGGGGAATGAATTACTATAGGGGGGATGAATTACTATGGGGGATGAATTACTATATGGGGGATGAATTACTATGGGGGATGAATTACTATATGGGGGATGAATTACTATATGGGGGATGAATTACTATAGGGGGGATGAATTACTATAGGGGGGATGAATTACTATATGGGGGATGAATTACTATAGGGGGGATTAATTACTATGGGGGATGAATTACTATAGGGGGGATGAATTACTATATGGGGGATGAATTACTATATGGGGGATGAATTACTATATGTATTGGGTTCAGAATCTTTTTTTTCTAGGTTTTCCTCCTTTAAAATTGGGTGCGTCTTATATTCCGGAGCGTCTTATATGGCGAAAAATACGGTAGATAAAAATCATCAATTTAGGTTCAGTCCCATGGCTGGGAGGCATTCAGCCACTAAGTGTCAGTGTTTTAACAGGCTGAAACACTGGCACTTAGAGGCATTCAGCCACGGGACTGAACCTAAATTGATGATTTTTATGTATTTATCCAGCTCTGATGAAGAAGGGATCACCCTTAGAAACAAGTTAGCTTGAACAAGAGTTTTTCTACTCTTCGGATGGAACTTGTACATGACCTGTAACCCTGTGTTGGCTATGGCTATTATATGCCTATTTTACTGCTATTCTTGTGAGTATATTTTATTAATAAATTCATCTACTGTTTACTGAGGTAATGCGCAAGGTTGGTGTGCTCTTTCTTTTGTTCTCTGCTGAAAATGTCAGCTGCTGGGAGGGAGCTCTGGGATACCGCAGTGCTGGAGAAAAGGCACGTAGAGCTCTACTTTAACTACATTACCCACCCCATCAGCTAAGCCCCTAACATTTGTTTTCACCTGCTGGATAAAGAAATGTTCCTTACCAATTAAATTTCTGCCCCCCATTTCTCCGTTGAAATGCATGTTCAAAAAGCTCTAAATTCATTACTAAGTAGTCCAGTGCCCTCGTGTGAAGAAATAACTACATCTTAGGATGGCTGCTGTTTGGAGGATACAGCCTGCAAAGGTAAGTAACAAGCTACCTTCAAATATTTCATACCATTGGGGATAATAAATGAGGATGGAATAAAAATCGCTATCTTGTGCCTGTGGGTAGCCTTAGATTTCAGTAAACAGAAAACCATCCAGCAGAAGACACAGGAACACATTTCACAGCCTAAGAGTTTTGACAGCATTAGATAAACGAAACGTACCTTCCCTCCCATGATCTTCTGCACCTCCTCATCATCCGCTGACCCAGGAGTGCTGGTCAGATCAGGGTTACTGTTACTAATGCTGCGGCAGCGGGACAGGTTGAGGCTGCTTGGTCGCCCGGTGGCACGGGAGAGGGTTGCTGAATGGACAGCAGATGAGGCTGAAGCATTGGCCAGAGCTGACAAACAACAAAAAAATGAAAAGTAATAAGTAAACTTGAGACGTGATTCTTGTGAGCTACTATGGTGTAACTTATAAAAGATATATATTGTCTTTTATTAAGTGAATATATAAAATTAAAAAATCAGTAAATTATTAAATGAACTGAGTGAAATATGTGCAGAAATAAAGAATATTAAATAAACTGGTGTGTGATATATTTAAATAAATGAGTGGGTCACCTACACTATACACACACCCATACAGGTGTGTCACTATAAATAAATCAAAATACAAACGTGTCACGCTCCACTAATAAATATATATATGTATATATATATATATATATATATATATATAAAAAATTAATTAATTAAATAAAGTAAATCCCCTGATGAAGCCACGTGACCCAGTGGCGTAACACGTAGGGGAGGGGCTCTGACGTCACAACGCTTAAAGGCAACTAAACGGCAAGTATATTGGAGTGTGGCAAACACATTGAGGATTCTGTAGTTTTGCACAAAAAGCGATTTTAATATATATTTCATGTGAGTGCACTACATTTAATAAATATTTTAAAAAGAAGATAATTGACTATATTCTATTCTTTAATTACATGGCACTTATGCATATGGAGAGAAAAATCAGAAGGGAGTGAAGAGATCATCTAGTGGGAAGAGGGATAACTCCATCCATCCATCCGCCTCCAGGAAATAGGTCTCTAGGAAGCAGCGAGACCCTCTGATGGGAAAAGGGAAACACTCCACTCACCCATCTGGGAAACAGGGATACATTTATCTACTCATCTCGGAGTCAATTTAAAGGGACACAAGCTGTTGTGACCTTACCTAACGGTTTGGTCATATACGTTAGGTGAGAGCACAACCGGTGAAGGAGCACACAAAATGAAGATTGGTGGACTATATGATACCTATTGTTTACAAATGTGAAACACACACCATAGTCACGGATTATTTAAAGACAAGCAAGCAACATCAGTAGGATTGCAATATCATGCTGCTGACTAATATTGGACTCGCTCATGTTACTTTATTAATTTAAATAAATATATTTTATATATATATATATATATATATATATATATATATAGCCAATTGTGCATGTTTATATTTCACATTTTATTTTTTTATTAGTGGAGCGCGACACGTTTGTATTTTGATTCAATAATAAGTAAACCTGCCCAGGATCAAGCCTGGAAAGCATTGCAGGGCTCCAGCAGACTGTCAGTGTAAGCTGTCTGCCCGTACCTCATATGGACAGGCAGTTACACAATGACAGGAAGAATCAATGAACTACAAGAGGGCTCAACAGCTTTTCCTGGTAGATCATTGAGAACTACAAGCTGTCATCCGCAAAGGCTGTTAGTACTTGTAGTTCATTCATTCACAGAACTCTTTTCAAATTGTGACAGCGGGTGCAGGGAGAAGATCCCCGTGGCCTGCTTTCACAGGAAGGAAATCAGGGAGCGGCGGCAGGAAGATGTTACATGTTCCACCCTAAAAACAGTTGGAACATGTAACATGTTCACAAAGGTGAAATTATCCTTTAAAGAAAGATTTCAGGTTGCTACACCAGCAGTATTTTAACAGTCAAGGGGCAAGAGGGATACAAACTCATCCTCAAATGAGTCAATTAAATGCCGAGAAGCTGAGCACTGAGAGAAATACTAGGGCAGTACTGACAGCACAGAGAAATACTAGGGCAGTACTGACAGCACAGAGAAATACTAGGGCAGTACTGACAGCACAGAGAAATACTAGGGCAGTACTGACAGCACAGAGACAAATACTAGGGCAGTACTGACAGCACTGAGAGAAACACTAGGGCAGTACTCAATACTTTGATCATGTTTTCTGTTTTGTAGCAGGGGAAAGGATCAGGCTTGTGTGACGATGAAGAGAGAAAAAAGGAGGTGACAAAAACAACAATAATCTGCACTTAGTTTTTGGCGCCTCCTTTTTTCTCTCTTTATTTCTGCACACAGAGTTGGCCTCGCTCTATAGGACGGCAGCCATTAACCTCCAAACACGCCATTATATGGAGACTCTTTATGGACTTTATTGATTTTACCATTTGTGTGCCTATACCACTTATGGTTTTCTGCTAGTTCATGTTGAAATATACCAACTACCTTATCCTAATTCCCCAAATTCCCCCCCCCTTCCTTTTTCCCCTCCCCTATTCCTTCTACTGTATTGGGGAGTACCTATGCGCTGGGCGCCAGATCTTTTTGTTTTTATTGTGTGACGATGAGCGCATGAGACGGCAACAGATCATGAAGGGCAAACAACCCCCTAAAACTAGATGCACGTTACAGTCTGACTGTACAATCTGCATTAGACTTACCAATACAGTGGGGCAAAAAAGTATTTAGTCAGCCACCAATTGTGCAAGTTCTCCCACTTAAAAAGATGAGAGAGGCCTGTAATTGGCATCATAGGTAGACCTCAACTATGAGAGACAAAATGAGAAAAAAAATCCAGACAATCACATTGGCTGATTTGGAAAGAATTCATTTGCAAATAATGGTGGAAAATAAGTATTTGGTCAATATGAAAAGTTCATCTCAATACTTTGTTATATATCCTTTGTTGGCAATGACAGAGGTCAGACGTTTCCTGTAAGTCTTCACAAGGTTGGCACACACTGTTGCTGGTATGTTGGCCCATCCTCCATGCAGATCTCCTCTAGAGCAGTGATGTTTTGAGGCTGTCGCTGGGCAACACGGACTTTCAACTCCCTCCAAAGGAGGGGTTGAGATCTGGAGACTGTTTTCTATGGGGTTGAGATCTGGAGACTGGCTGGCCCACTCCAGGACCTTGAAATGCTTCTTACGAAGCCACTCCTTCATTGCCCGGGCGGTATGTTTGGGATCATTGTCACGTTGGAAGACCCAGCCACGTTTCATCTTCAATGCCCTTGCTGATGGAAGGAGGTTTGCACTCAAAATCTCACTATACATGGCCCCATTCATTCTGTCCTGTACATGGATCAGTCGTCCTGGTCCCTTTGCGGAGAAACAGCCCCAAAGCATGATGTTGCCACCCCCATGCTTCACAGTAGGTATGGTGTTGTTTGGATGCAACTCAGCATTCTCTCTCCTCCAAACATGACGAGTTGTGTTTCTACCAAACCGTTCTATTTTGGTTTCATCTGACCATATGACATTCTCCCAATCCTCTTCTGGATCATCCAAATGCTCTCTAGCAAACTTCAGATGGGCCCGGACATGTACTGGCTTAAGCAGGGGGACACGTCTGGCACTGCAGGATCTGAGTCCCTGGCGGCGTAGTGTGTTACTGATGGTAGCCTTTGTTACGTTGGTCCCAGCTGTCTGCAGGTCATTCACTAGGTCCCCCCGTGTGGTCCTGGGATTTTTGCTCACCGATCTTGTGATCATTTTGACCCCATGGGGTGAGATCCTGCGTGAAGCCCCAGATCGAGGAAGATTATCAGCGGTCTTGTATGTCTTCCATTTTCTAATTATTGCTCACACAGTTGATTTGTTCACACCAAGCTGCTTGCCTTTTGCAGATACAGTCTTCCCAGCCTGGTGCAGGTCTACAATTTTGTTTCTGGTGTTCTTCGACAGCTCTTTAGTCTTCACCATAGTGGAGTTTGGAGTGTGACTGTTTGAGGTTGTGGACAGGTGTCTTTTATACTGATAACAAGTTCAAACAGGTGCCATTGATACAGGTAATGAGTGCAGGACAGAGGAGCCTCTTAAAGAAGAAGGTACAGGTCTGTGAGAGCCAGAAATCTTGCTTGTTTGTAGGTGACCAAATACTTATTTTCCACCATAATTTGCAAATAAATTCTTTCCAGATCAGCCAATGTGATTGTCTGGATTTTTTTTCTCATTTTGTCTCTCATAGTTGAGGTCTACCTATGATGCCAATTACAGGCCTCTCTCATCTTTTTAAGTGGGAGAACTTGCACAATTGGTGGCTGACTAAATACTTTTTTGCCCCACTGTAACTATGCAGTGTGGGGGGCCAACTGTTTGGATGCAAGTGGAATGGAATGTTTAGTTAAGCCCCCATACTACATAGCTGTTAATAAACGTAAATGAGATTGTGTAATCATATTATAAAGTGTGAGGCCAGCTATGAACTGACAGAACTGTGCAATACAACAGCCCAGATGAACTCATATTGCTGTACCCTCCCAATTCTGATTTCCGATTCCGCCTCTACAGCAGAAAGGTAAAACAAATAAATATTCCATAGAGTTATATTGGCTTTTTTTAAAACACATATAGTGAAAACTTAAATTTTCAGCTAAACAAAGCTAACTATTGATGAGTGCAGTGCAGTACAACGTTCTAACCTGTAGATAGCAGTTTGGCACCTACAGGGCTGCAGGGTTTTCAGGTTTTTGTTTTTTTTTGACAAATAAAGTCTGTCACCCATCATATTTCATTAACTGCAATAACCTTTTAACAAACTTCCTGAAGCTATAACATGGATAATCATCATCAGCAACCTCCAAGTCCCATCAATTCAGTGACATATGGCATTTCAAGCAGCACTGCTGCTGACACTCACAGCTGTGCAGCTGGGCCGGCATGTCGCTGGGCAGGTGGAAGGCATAGTGGAGATAAGACGCCAGGAGAGCATTCCTGCCATGCTGGTCCATAGAGGATTCCAGAGTGCGATGAATCTGGCTTACCAGTAGAGCCACCACCTCAAAAGCTACCCGACCCAAATTCACTGTAAGAGAAGAAAAAAAAAAAAATTAATCAATGGGAAAGGAAAGAGGACACTATATAGGTCTAAGTTATTCTGCCCTGGCAGGGAAAACGACAGCTTCTCTTTACTGTCAGCCCACACAGCTACTAATGTATATATTACCTTCGCTCCCTCACTGCTCTATATTGGTAAAGTGTCATACCTAGTACCTCCAGGTATGGGGGAACATGTGACTCGCTATCATTCCATCCATGTTATAGTACTAGTGCTAGGTGACTGATCACTCAGACACAGCACTGTCAGATGAGCGCAGTCCTTAGTCCAGGCCCAAGTCTAGGCTTGAAGCTTTCACAGGACTTCTCATGTAGCTCCTGCAGGTGACTGCAGGAGGAACGAAAGAAAGGCAAGTATATGAAGCTGGTGGAGCTGTTATTAAAGTGAACCTGTTGCTTTGTGATGCATGGGCAAAGTGCATGTTACCTTTAAGTATCAGCACCGTCAAAGAGACACGGGGGGTGATTTACTAAAATCTGGTGCAGCTCTGCATAGTAACCAATCAGCTTCCACGTTTTATAGCCAAAGCCTAATTGAACAAGCTGAAGTTAGAAGCCGATTGGCTACCATGCACAGCTACACCAGATTCTGAGTGCTCCAGTTTTAGTAAATCTACCCCACCGTTACCTTGCCTATGCAGGGCAAAATGGTAGTGTCTCAGAAAAGACCTTAATGGACCTCCATACAATCAACTTGCCAGTAAGCTCTTGCTACTACTGTGATGGATATGGTAAAATGCTTATTTCGTTTCCTATTGAATATATACAGTCAGGTCCATAAATATTGGGATATCGACACAATTCTAACATTTTTGGCTCTATACACCACCACAATGGATTTGAAATGAAATGAACAAGATGTGCTTTAACTGCAGACTGTCAGCTTTAATTTGAGGGTATTTACATCCAAATCAGGTGAACAGTGTAGGAATTACAACAGTTTGCATATGTGCCTCCCACTTATTAAGGGACCAAAAGTAATGGGACAATTGGCTTCTCAGCTGTTCCATGGCCAGGTGTGTGTTATTCCCTCATTATCCCAATTACAATGAGCAGATAAAAGGTCCAGAGTTCATTTCAAGTGTGCTATTTGCATTTGGAATCTGTTGCTGTCAACTCTCAAGATGAGATCCAAAGAGCTGTCATTATCAGTAAAGCAAGCCATCATTAGGCTGAAAAAACAAAACAAACCCATCAGAGAGATAGCAAAAACATTAGGCGTGGCCAAAACAACTGTTTGGAACATTCTTAAAAAGAAGGAACGCACCGGTGAGCTCAGCAACACCAAAGACCCGGAAGACCACGGAAACAACTGTGGTGGATGACCGAAGAATTCTTTCCCTGGTGAAGAAAACACCCTTCACAACAGTTGGCCAGATCAAGAACACTCTCCAGGAGGTGCGTGTATGTGTGTCAAAGTCAACAATCAAGAGAAGACTTCACCAGAGTGAATACAGAGGGTTCCCCACAAGATGTAAACCATTGGTGAGCCTCAAAAACAAGAAGGCCAGATTAGAGTTTGCCAAACGACATCTAAAAAAGCCTTCACAGTTCTGGAACAACATCCTATGGACAGATGAGACCAAGATCAACTTGTACCAGAGTGATGGGAAGAGAAGAGTATGGAGAAGGAAAGGAACTGCTCATGATCCTAAGCATACCACCTCATCAGTGAAGCATGGTGATGGTAGTGTCATGGCGTGGGCATGTATGGCTGCCAATGGAACTGGTTCTCTTGTATTATTTATTGATGATGTGAATGCTGACAAAAGCAGCAGGATGAATTCTGAAGTGTTTCGGGTAATATTATCTGCTCATATTCAGCCAAATGCTTCAGAACTCATTGGACGCCGCTTCACAGTGCAGATGGACAATGACTCAAAAGCATACCGCAAAAGCAACCAAAGAGTTTTTTAAGGGAAAGAAGTGGAATGTTATGCAATGGCCAAGTCAATCACCTGACCTGAATCCGATTGAGCATGCATTTCACTTGCTGAAGACAAAACTGAAGGGAAAATGCCCCAAGAACAAGCAGGAACTGAAGACAGTTGCAGTAGAGGCCTGGCAGAGCATCACCAGGGATGAAACCCAGCGTCTGGTGATATCTATGCGTTCCAAACTTCGGCCTGTAATTGACTGCAAAGGATTTGCAACCTAGTATTAAAAAGTGAAAGTTTGATTTATGATTATTATTCTGTCCCATTACTTTTGGTCCCTTAACAAGTGGGAGGCACATATGCAAACTGTTGTAATTCCTACACCGTTCACCTGATTTGGATGTAAATACCCTCAAATTAAAGCTGACAGTCTGCAGTTAAAGCACATCTTGTTAGTTTCATTTCACATCCATTGTGGTTGTGTCTAGAGCCAAAAATGTTAGAATTGTGTCGATGTCCCAATATTTATGGACCTGACTGTATATATATATATATATATATATATATATATATATATATATACACACACACACACACACACACACACACACGTTTTTCTACACATTTTTATACATATTTACTTTTATACGTTAATACTATTTCTTTCTTCATATTTCTAAATGTTTAGTATGAATACAAATGTTGTGTGTATATTTTCTGCCTGCTGGGCTTTGTGGTACTTTAAGAAATCCTTGCTTAAGAAATGTCTGCTCACACGCACCGACCCCCCCTCCCATCGTGCCAACGAGAGACAAAGGAATGTTTTTCTTTCTATAGATAAGGCTTGGAAGAAGATCACACCTATAGTATGAAGCAGATTGTTTTTGTGTGGAAATGACCAATCAAAGACTGATATAATGCTTATGCTGTTCTCACATGACTCTTGCATCATTTTGCATATATAAGCTCACTTTCTCATTATAATAAACTAGAAGTGTTCATCGACTGAACTTGTGTGTCAGCGTGAGTCTCTTCCAGTGTGCGCACATTCCAAAGCTAGAATGATTAATTTGGACAGAAGCAGATAATCAATGGACATTTTTAGTCCTTATCTAATTCACTACTACTACTTTTTTTCTGCTGCCTGCAGTAGTAAAAGCTGAGCTGGCGACCAGGGAGGTGGTGATGTCACTTCCCTGGTCATGGCAGTGCCCAGGCCTAGCAGCTGGCTGCTTGACCTCTGCACGGTCACATGCTCCTATATAGAAACAGGTGTGTAAGCATTTCTAACTTCCCACCTTCTGGCTCAGCCCGATGCTCAGACTCAAAGGTTGCCAATGCATGTCATGACTAAGCCCTGATGGTCAAAATGCATTGGCTGTTTTACAGTTGTCATATAGGTTTTGTAAAAGAACCTAAGTCAAGGTGTTATTCCAGTTTGTATCCCAGCGGGGAGATGGAGAAAATGAGCAAAAGTGTCTGTTTAGTATAGCTGGGAAGTTTTTTGTGAGCTTTATGGTGTTGGCATGGCTATTTATATCAGTTTACAGCACTAATATAAAGTAGCATTTTAGTTACATTTGTGGTTTTTGAAAGGCCTCCCCCACTGACCTGCTAATGAACTTGTGGGACTGGTTTATGAGCTCATTGCAGGAAGCTCACTACAGGAAATGAGGTAGCAGGGAGAGGGGGAGGGAAGGATGACTTTGAACAAGCCATGTGCTAACAAAGGACACAGTGGTTTTGAGACTTTGGAGGAGACAGATATTTTGTGCTGGACTCAGGAGCAGCAAGGATCCATCAGAAGATTCCATCACCAGGTAACCCAGGTTAAGTAATTGATTTGTATACTTATGCCTATCACATACATGGTCCATGCTTATTTGTTGGGAAAGATATTATTATTATTATTATTATACAGTATTTATAAAGCACCAATATTTTGCTCAGCGCTGTACATTACAAAGGGGGACAGAACATGTGACAGAACAATACCAATACAATGCAAAACATGAGGGGATTGAGGGCCCTGCTCTTTCGAGCTTACAATCTAGGAGGGAGGGGATGGTGGCACAGGAGGAGAACGCTGTGGGGGATGAAGTGGTAGGAAGAGTGGAGGAGGTCGGCAAGTTAGCAGGGGGTGGGGTAGGCTTCCCTGAAGAGATGGGTTTTCAGGGTGCGCCTAAAGGAGAGGAGAGTAGGTGATAAGCTGATGGGTTGGGGCAGGGAGTTCCAGAGGATGGGTGACACCCTGGAGAAGTCCTGGAGGTGGGCATGGGAGGAGACCAGGGAACTAGAGAGAAGGAGGTCTTGTGAGGAGCGGAGTGTGCGTGCTGGGCGGTACTTGGATATTAGGTCAGTGATGTAGTTCGGGGCAGTATGGTGGACAGCTTTGTACGTCAGTGTTAGGATTTTGAATTTGATCCGTTGCGCAATCGGAAGCCAGTGGAGGGATTGGCAGAGGGGGGTGGCGGAGACAGAGTGGTTGGAAAGGTGAATGAGTCTGGCAGCCGTAGACAGACACCAAGCAAAACATTATATTGCTTTTCCCCCATTGTGGAAATTTCTCCTCACTTCCTGTCCTGGTGACACTTTGTACGTTATAAGGAGTCACCAAGACAGAAATTTATACCTAGGTTCTAAAGAATTAATTTTTAACTGAAATTAAAAAAGAAAAAAAAACCTTTTCAATAGAGTTGCAGTTTGTGAAGGGTCTAAGGGTCCAGCATGTGTGCAAAACCGTAATTTTCCTGCCAATATTGCTTCTACCTCTTAAAACTAGGCGTCAGCCTGCTAGTCACAATGGGGAAACCTGCGAAACCCAAACAAGTTAGATGAACTATAGCAGTAAGAAGAGGACACTCTTGGAGGAGTTTCTTGTGGGTTACAAAGACAAGTCTCTTTATCCACAGCTTGCACCATTACCCTCTACCTAAAAACCTACAACTCTTGTTGAAAGCCTTCTTTAAAGCAGAAAACAAAGGACTGGAGACAACAGAACTGCACTCACCAATCTGTCCTGCGATAACAGGGGGTCGGACAATGAGCAATATCAACTTGTCCAGCAGCTGGTGGCAGAAACAAACCGCTGGTCCAAGAGCAGCCATGCGTACGTTCCCCATGCTGCTCTTCAGCTCGGATTCCACATTACTTTCTGAAATGATGACGTCCTTCAGGCGGAATGGGAAGCTCTGCTCCTCCAAGACCTGAACCAGAGTGAAGAACTTGTCCAAGTGGGGGTCCTACACAGAGAGAGGAGGCATCCAGATAATCAGCTGCAAGCTCTGATACTTCTTAGTAAGCACAATGCTCTTGACCTGGACTGAGACTAGGAAATAATAGGATTTTAGTACTTACCTTAAAGCTAAACCCAAAAGGGGACGTTCCACTTTAAGGACTGCTCCCCCGCTCCCCATTAAGGACTGGCACCTTTGGGGGGCAGGGGGGAGCGGGTACCCGAATTTGACAGGTACCCGCTCCCACTTCTGGTCCGATCATCTAGGTGATCGCAAACGGAAGGTGTCCTCCCTTTCTCCCTGTAGTCTTCTTCTACAGGTCCCAGAAGACTACAGGATCATTCAAAAGGTGCAGCGCTTCTCGCGCATGCGCAGTGGGTATCCGGCTGTGAAGCCGCAAGCTGTCACAGCCAGGTGCCCACACTGAAGATGCCGGCCTCCTGGAATACAGGACGGCCGGTGAAATGGGCTGCGGGGGACACACCACGGGACCGAGGGACAGGTAAGTGGCTGTTTTTTTAAAAGTCAGCAGCTACAGTTTTTGCAGCTGCTGACTTTTATATCTGACAGGGTGAGTGGAACTCCGCTTTAAAATCCTTTTCTTGGGGTCCACTGAGGAACACGGGAAGTCTTAAAGTGGTTGTAAGGCTGAAGATTTTTGCCTTCATGTATTCTACACACAAAAGGTATAAAGCCTTCTGTGCGCATTTCCCCTCACAGACCCCCTAATACTCACCTGAGCCCCCTCTTGATCCAGAGATGTGCATGGGAGTCTTGGGTGTCTCGGTCTCTCTCTCTCCACATTGGCTAATATACAGCAGGAGGAGCCATTGGCTCCCACTGCTGTCAATCACAGCCAGTGAGAAAATGAGGAGAGAGTGTTGGGCGGGGCCAAACTTGAGGCTCTGTGGGGTTGATTTACTGAAGGCAAAACAGACTGTGCACTTTGCAAAGTGCAGTTGCTCCAGAGCTTAGTAAATCTAAAGCTGCACTTTGGAAAGAATACACAATCACGTGCAAGGAAAAAAAAAAGATTTTTTGCTTGCACATGATTGGATAATGGAAATCAGCAGAACTTCTGCTCATCTGCTAAACTATGGATCATCTGTTCTTGCAAATTGCAGTCTATTTGCCTTTAGTAAATCAACCCCTATGTGTCTTATCAATGAATAGAGCGGGGCTCGGGAGCAAGCACACACCAGTACCCCCATAGCAAACGGCTTACTTTTGGGGGCATTGGTCAAGGGGGAGGAGCCAGGAGCACCAGCAGGGGACCCAAGAAGAAGAGGATCGGGGCTGCTCTGTGCAAAACTATTGCACAGAGCAGGTAAGTAGAGCATGTTTGTTATTTTAAAAAAATCAAAAAAAACTTTAAAAATCACTTTAAATCTTTGGCATATACTGCCACTTATAGGGAAAACTATGGGTTTTTGGTGGAGACTGCAAGTGGCCATGTCAATGCACACATTACACAGGCGTGTAGTACTGTTGATTTATCAGGAAACCCACTCTAAGAAATGCCATGTAGCCATGGCTGGAGCAAATGTAGACAGAACATGGATGCAGCAGTTAAATACCGTTGGGATGCAACAAAGATGAAAAAAAAGTATTTTTAAAAAAAAAAAAAAAAGGAACTTCTTAGGATACACAGAGCTATAGCATTCAGTTTGGGGTTACAACTCTAACTGAATTTTCTTGTGTGAAAGGGCTGGCAAATCTATTGTCCAGCCAATGGCATATTGCTCCTCTAAGATATCAAGAACTCATATACACTAGCGGCAGCCCCTGCCACCTCTCTGAAAAACAATCAGTAGTGTATCACTCTTTAGAGGAAAAAAATGTACTTCCTCACTGCCTGTTTTAACCCTGAAATGACCGCACTACACCTGCGTGCATACCACATGATTGCAGGGTGGTTATGGTGCGGCCTCATTTACTTCAACAGGTTGAGCTCGGCTTGAGGTACCGCCTGCTGAACACAACAGGGGTTATAATTCTTGCCACAGCCGTGAAAAATGTGAAAAAAAAAAACAAAAATTAAATTATTATTATTTTCACCAAAGAAATGTAGCAGAATACATTTTGACCTAAATTTATGCAGAAATGTTATTTATTTGCAAACTTTTATAACAGAAACGAAGAAAAGTGTTTTTTTTTCAAAAGTTTCAGGTGTTTTTTGTTTAATTTAGCAAAAAATAAAAAAACTCAGTGGTGATTAACCTCCCTGGCGGTATTCCCGAGTGTAGCTCGGGGGTAAAGTTTCAGTACCAAAAGCGGTAACCCCGAGCTACACTCAGGCTTACCATGCGGCGTTGCTCCGGGATCTCTTCTGCACTTACCTTGTCCTTCGCTCCCGCGATGGGTCCCCTGCAGCGTCCCCGGCCATCTCCTCCGGCCGATGCCGGCATCTGGCTTCCGTGTTCCGGTCCCTGTGACGTCGGGACGTACGGGCGCCGGGACCGGCGGGAAATTTGAACATTTAAAAAAAATTCCTTTTTTTTAAATTATTATTTCATAGCAAAACATTACTGTATCAAACCATTTCACATACATTTTGTCCCTACTGCTTTGTCCTGTGCCCTGCCTGCATTTTTACTGTTCTTTCTGCCTGGAAACTTAGAAAGGTCCACGGCCTCCAAAAAGCGTCCCTTTAGGTCAAAAGCGGTTTTAGACCGGCTAGAGAACAGCGATAGTAAATCAGAACCACTTGCAGAATTGAGTGATGATTCGTGGGGAAATTTGTCATCAGACACTGAAAACGATTTTGCGACTTTGCTCAGTGATGTGTGAACTTGGCGCTCTATTTCAAATTTCAGTGTTTTTGCTTTGATTATATTATTGAATTAAATTTATTATATTAATTTTTATGAGTATTTATTAAATTATAATTTATGATTTTGTGTTTCAAGTTTTATCATATCCGGAATGTTTACTAGACTCTTGTTCGGACAGATTTCAGGGAGTTATTCCTAAATTACAGGTCTACAATAAAAAAAATACATATTTCCATGCAAAAAAATGGTACCGCTTTTGGTACAAAATTCCTGACATAATCATACCGCCAGGGAGGTTAAAGACCACCAAAAGAAAGCTCTATTTGTGTGCAAAAAAAATTAATAACAATTTCATGTGGGTACAGTGTTGCATGACTGCGCAATTATCATTCAAAGTGTGACAGCTCTGAAATCTGAAATTTGGCGTGGGCAGGAAGGGGGTATAAGTGTCCGGTACTGAAGTGGTTAATGACTTAATGACATTGACATTAAATGACATTATATTAGATTATAGTGACATGGTTTGGACCTGCTTTAATGCTGGCCATACACAGCGAAGTTTTCTTGCAATTTATGGCATTTAAAAACAACTTTTGACAAAAATAATCAAAATGATCAAGGCAGCCTAACACAAAGCCGATACGCTGTATACGTAGAAGGCAGTGATGTTGGTAAGTTGATTTCATTTGATCAGTTTGCTTTTTGCTGGTTGAAAGTTCTTATAATCCCTACAGGATTGCGGATCATTTCTTAGCAGTAATGCTGGATCCTGATATAAGCACGGACACTAGAGGGGAGCTCTATCCCTCTGTATATACAATGCCATCATAAAAATACAGCACAAGCATGTATGAATTGTAATGAGATGATGTTAAGGTGGTTCATTTTTGTAAGAAATTAAAATGTAATAAAAGATATAAATAATAATAAAAAAAAAAATACTGTACAAACATGTAATAATGTGAAAAGAATGACTCAAAAGGTAGGTATATCCCTGAAGACACACACTGGTCTCCCTTTAAAACAATGCTAGGGCATGGCAGTTATAATCAGTCCTGCGTGTATACCAGACCTGTGTGTGCACCGAGGAAGTGGCCACCAAATCCACCATGAAAACAGGTTTATGATTGTCCACCCACTTCATCCCCGGGAGCTGGACCTGGAAACAAGCGCATACATACAAATGGTATCAATAAATGAAAAAACAAACATTGCTTTCAGAAACATATCATTATGAAGACTAACTATATACTTCCCACAGTTCCAGCAGCTCAGAAGCTAAAGTGTTACTAAACCCACAACAGTAAAATCAGTCTGTGCAGTAAAGCATGTTTGTTATACTCACTGAGGAACCTAAGGGGTTAATCCTCTGCATTGTGTAAAAAGGCTGTTTGATCCTGACTTTTCAGATCCTCCCCCTTCTTCCAGTTTCTCCCTCTTATCTCCTGATAATACATCATGTGGAGACACTCTGCACATGCTGAGCTTGGTGTGTATTGCTAGAGAGGTTTTTTTTTTTATTCTTCCTCTTGGGAGAGTGCATGTGATCAGCACAGGGCCAATCTGAGAAATATGTGCATTTATTATTTTTTCCCCCAAAAATGTGAACTTATCCTTTAAATTAACGTGTAACAAAATGTTGAAAGTACCCCATGCGCCTTTTTGGGTGTCAAACTTCATACTTTTTTATATTGAGCATTTTTTGCAGCTTTTAATGCATTTTTTTCTTTTTGCTTCGTTTAGGGTGCTAACAGTAAATGGTAGCACAAATGTGTCTCATGGTTTGTGCACATTCTGTAAATGCGGCCAAAACGACAAGATTTTGTGCACGTTTACAATGCTAAGCGTGAATGCAGTTTTGAAGTGACAGAAGTTAAAAGAAGCCGCATCGAATACATCGAATACTAAGCTCCCTCTAGTGGCTGATTTCCAAATTCTCTCTTTAGTAATATAATTCTTATACAAGGTGTACATAGTGTCAACGGGCATTACTACTGTTTTTATACAGGATTTATATAGCGCCAACAGTATACAATAACAACATTTTGTATGACTAAGCACATGAAAACATGAACGTCTCATCAATATGATCTGTAAAGGCAAACACTGCAATCATAACTTAAAATATGTGTTTTCCCTTCAAGCAAAGACACACGGTGTCCCTTAAAGCGGACATCTGGAATTTCAGATGAGAATTGAATTCTCAGGACTCATGTACACTGCAGCTGATAAACTGACATTCAGGAGCTTTTCTGCGTTTTTTTTCAGCAGCCCCTGAACTCTCCCTAATGTATTCCTATGTGTCCATGTACACAGAGTCGTTTACAGTCGTTGTTTTGAATGCACCAAACTTGTGTTCAGAAATAGATTTTATCAGCATTTCAATCGCAAAACGCTTGTAAACGCGGCTAACCGTGTTTATAGGTGTTTGCAAATGTATTTAACTCTTCCATTTCCAGATGCTGTCCAGAGCCTTTTTTCATCGTGAAAAATGCATGCAAAGCGTTTTCCCGGTACTCAGATGGACCCGGTACACCATACTTTGAGGTTTTGCATGCAAAAAAATATGTTAGACACTGCTGCAATAATTTCTGCACAGACATTTATTTATTATTTATTTCAGGTACTTACATAGCGCCGTCAATTTACACAGAGCTTTACATATATATTGTACATTCGCATCAGTCCCTAACCCTCAAGGGGCGTACAATCTAAGGTCCCTAACTCACATTCATACATACACATACTAGGGTCAATTTAGACAGGATCCAATTAACCTACCAGCATGTCTTTTGGAGTGTGGGAGGAAACCGGAGTACCCGGAGGTAACCCACGCAGGCACAGGGAGAACATGCAAACTCCAGGCAGGAGGTGCCGTGGTTGGGATTCGAACCAACGACCCTAGTACTGCCAGGCAGAAGTGCTAACCATTTAGCCACTGTGCTGCCCAGAAATGAGCTGGAACACATCCAAACACCACACACAAAAAAAAAAGTGAATCTCAACAAATACTGCACTCTCTATTTCTCTCAAAATGTCTGAAATAGTTAATTTTTTACTGTTTTTCAGTGCTTTCTGGGCATTTGGGTGGGTCTCCTGAGCTTATCTTAAAAAAACACTTCTAAAACGCAAACGCGCATAAACGCGGTATGCAAACGTGGCTAAACAGACTTTTTTTAATCTACGTTTTCCAGCAGTCAGTTTCCATCGTTCAGAAGTGTCCCGTGTACATGGGGCCTCAGTCTCTGCAACCTAAAGGGTAATTACTGGACCCATAAAAGTGCAATTAAACTAGGACTGCTGGAGGACAAAGTCTGCCCATTAAATGAGACATACAAAGATTTTCCAACATCCGATAAATGGAACGGTTGTTCCAAGGAGCAATTTGATTTCTTTCCATTTAAAGCAGCCGGAACATTTTGTAGGCGTTGGAGAACACAATGGCAGCTAAAACACCGGAGGATCATTCAGCACATCCTGCCCGGGGCTATGTCTGTAACTGCAATCACGGTCATTTCTGGCAGCCCAACACCCAGATCTGTTTTATCCATTAAAATTGAGGAAATACTAAAGAAAAAGCCAAGTTCGGGGGGCCTGCTTGTTCTTGTTCCATGACTTTTGTCTCCAATCATGTTATCAGATTCTTGTTAGAGAAAATGCAAGCCAAAATACACTGCTACAATTAGAAGGCTGTTTGGCTCATATGTAGAGCGTCATTTATCTGTGAAATAGAGGAAGGGATCACAGAAAAAGAGAAAATTATTTCTTGTTCTTAAAGCGGAACTCCACCCAAAGGGAAAGTTCTGCTTTAAGGACTGCTCGCCCGCTCCCCATTAACCACTTCCCGACCGGCCGTTGCATATAAACGGCCGGACGGTGGCAGTGCAGGGTCGGGTGGCCGTTTATACAGTGAAACCGGACACAGTGAAACACCGATCGTCGGAGGGGACCTCTGTACGAGGTCCCGATCATGTGATCACTGATTGGCCAATCAGTGATCACATGCAAAGTAGTAAGCAAGATGTCACTTGTGACATCATTGCTTACTACGTGTGAAATCTGTGAATGATCACAGAGGTCACATGGTACAAGGCTATTCACAACAGGCTTGTACCATGTGACAAGCTGTGACCAATCACAGCTCACTCAGTACTTCTCAATGAGTGCAAAAATGCACACAGAGAGGAGGAGAAATGATTGCTTTTACATCCTATATGGGTGTAAAAGCAATGTGTAAAAAAAAAAATCTTCATCACCCCCCACAAGTAGTACAGTGTCACCATGGTGACACTGTACTGCTAGGGTGACAGTATGTAAAAAAAAATAAATAAATAAATAAATAATAATATTAAAAAATAAAATTAAAATGTAAAAAAAAAAATGTTTAAAAATTATAATTTTTGGGTATAAACTAATTTGGATTTTTTTTTTACTAAAAAGATAACGGAATAAATTTTGGCAAAGATTTATGATGAAAATATTATTTATTTGCAAAATTTTATTTAAAAAACACTTTTTTTCAAAATTTTTGGACTTTTTCATTTACATAGCAACAAAAATAAATATCCCAGCGGTGAATAAATACCACCAAAATAAAGCTTTATCTGTCTCAAAAAATGGTAAAAAATTCATTTGGGTACAGTGTTACATCACCGCACAATTGTCATTCAAAGCGTGATAGCGCTGAAAGCTGAAAATTGCCCTGGTCAGGAAGGGGGTAAAAGTGTCCGGTGTGGAAGTGGTTAAGGATTGGAACCTTTGGGGGGTGGGTACCCGAATTTGACAGGTACCCACTCCCACTTCCGATCCGATCGCCTAGGCGATCGGAAGCGGAAGGTGTCCTCCCTCCCTCTCTGTAGTCTTGTGGGACACGTGACAGGTCCCAGAAGACTACAGGACCATTCATGAAGCGCGGCGCTACTCACGCATGCGCAGTGGGTACCCGGCTGTGACAGTTTGTGGCTTCACAGCCGGTTGCCCACACTGAAGATGCCGGCCTCCTGGAATACAGGACGGCCAGTGAAACGGGCTGCAGGGGACACACTACGGGATCGTGGGACAGGTAAGTGGCTGTTTTTTAAAAGTCAGGAGCTACAGTTTTTGTAGCTGCTGACTTTTATTTTTTGACAGCGTGAGTGGAACTCCACTTTAAGCTTTAAAGAGTCTTGTGACTCCTATCAATGGATCCAGGCATTAGTCAAATACAAATGTAAATATAAATATTTTATCTTGTAAATAAAGAAACCCTGTCACGTGCCCATATATCACAAAGTAATGGGGTCTCTTTAAAGCCCCACCTTCACCCAACCCAATATACTCACCTTCACAATGCTTCTCTAGAGCTGCCCCTCTAAGAGGGAGTGACACTCAAAGAGACTCTGTTGCGTTTACTCATTCAGGGCAAAGTGGTAGTGTCTTTTTAAAGAACCCATCCAACCACCCAATAATCACCTTCACAACACTCCCCATCTGGTTCCTCTGCAAAATATCCAGTGAGTCCAGGTAATTAGAAGCATGTGTCCTACTCCCATGATGCAGTGCTAGCAGCCAATGACAAGGCCTGAACTTCTTTCACATGACAAAGGTGAAGACATCATCACCTCATGTAAAGTGCCAACACCAGCCTTCAATGACAGATTGCTGTGAAGGTAGTCTGGGTGGGCTTTGAAGAGACCCTGTCACTTTGCCCTATATAGGCAAGGCAACAGGGTCATTTTAAGTAATGCTCCTCTTAAAGTGAACTTTTTCTTATCTTTTTTTTTTTTACTGTGAGGCTTGCTGTTTTCCAGTTGATCACCTAGGTTGTGATGATGTAGTATCGGCCCCCCGCAGACTCCTGAGATGTCCATACCACACAACCTAGGAGGCAGTGTTTCAGTAAGAGACAAAGCATTGCACTATTCCAATCCTGGCCATGTTTAAAGTGGTTATTATTATTATTATACAGGATTTATACAGCGCCAACAGTTTGCTCAGCGCTTTACAATATAACGGGAGACAATACAGAAACAATACAGTGCAATACAAGAGGGATAGGAGGGCCCTGATCCTTGGAGATTACAATCTAGGAGGGAGGGGCTAGTGGTACAAAAGGTAGTCACTGTGGGGGATGGACTGGTTGGAAGAGTAGAAGATTCCATTATTAGCTGAGGGCAGGATAGGCTTCCCTGAAGAGAGAGGTTTTCAGAGATCGCCTAAAAGTGAGCAGAGTAGGCGATAGTCTGATAAATTGGGGTAGAGAGTTCCAGAGGATGGGGGAAGCTCTGGAGAAGCCCTGGAAACGAGCATGGGAGGAGGAGACAAGGGAGCTAGGAGGAGGAGGTCGTGCGAGGAGTGGAGAGTATGGTTTGGGTGATCTTCGAAGACAAGATCGGTGATGTAATTTGGGGCAGAGTTATAAATGGCTTTATGAGTTATTGTTAAGGTTTTGAATTTTATCCGTTAGACAATGGGAAGCCAGTGGAGGGATTGGCAGAGAGGGGTGGAGGACACTGAGTGGAGGTCAGTGGAGGGATTGGCAGAGAAGGATGAAGGACACTGAGTGGAGGCCAGTGGAGGGATTGGCAGAGAAGGATGGAGGACACCGAGTGGAGGTCAGTGGAGGGATTGGCAGAGAGGGGTGGCAGATACAGAATGGTTAGTAAGGTGGATGAGTCTGTCAGCAGCATTCATGATAGACTGTGATGAGGTAGGCCAATGAGGAGGGAGTTACAATAGTCAAGGCAAGATATAACAAGGGAGTGAATAAGTTGCTTAGTGGTTTCCAAGGTTAGGAACGGGCGTATCTTGGAGATGTTCTGGAGGTGAAGTCTACAAGATTTGGACAGCGATTGGATCTGGGGATGGAAGGACAGATGGGAGTCTAGGATTACACCTAGTACCCTGGCATGAGGGGAGGGGGAGTGATGGTTGTGTTATTGATCTTGATGGAGAAGTCAGGGGAGGGGGCACGGACAAGTGGTTGTAAACCCTTACATATACCCAGTGAAGTGACTGACCTCAGGTGATACACAGAGATGAAACAAATCCTCCTACATAAGTTGTATTGGTTTATCTGTAGCATTCTCTTCTCTACATCTGTTCAAAGTCCAAAATTAAAAAAGCTTGTCTGAGTTCAGAAAGCATGGGGTGGAGAGCTGAAATTTCACACTGCAGAGCTCAATGAGATCTCAGAGCGGATTGGAAGGAAGGGACACCCCCTCCACACAGCTCAGGAACAAAGCTGAGGCTGTCAATATGCTGGAGGTCCCTTCCCTGTCACCATTTTTCTCTTGGTGTCAGGAATCGCTATATGCTGATAGCAGAGGAACACAGCAGCAGACAGAAAAAACTCTTAGTGCTCTGGATTGAAGGATTGAAACAAGTACACACTATAGAGGGATATGCTTTGTTCACATTTCATGTCTGAGGTTTACAACCACTTTAAGGTATCTAGGACCTGGCTGAGAGATGCCTGGCAGATCTGTGCATGCATGAGATCCTGAAGCATCATTATAGGGCGGCTATGAAAATGAGGAAGAGACAGCCGGCTCCCCATGATGGGAGTTTCAGGATGGTAATGCAGAAGCAGAGCAGCACAAGGAGAACTACATCTGCAAGCAAGACAATGCTGGGACTCCATGGACTAGTTTGTATTTTTTTTTTTATCATACAGGGACGCTTATTAGAAGAGAAGTTGCGTTCAGCTTTGAATAGGTAGGGTGAAGTTCATCCTTACTGGGTGACAACACCTTTGTGTTATCCTTTTCTTACATTCTCTAGAAAATAAACACAATTCTGGCATCGCGAGTGAGAACCCCCATAATAATAACCCCCCACCTCACCCCCTTGGTCTCAGCCCGAATCACACACCTACTGAGCGACATATCAGACTGGATGTCACTCCACTTCCTTAAATTGAACCTCTCCAAAACCGAGTTTCTTGTCTTCCCCCACAGCCCGGACACCACCCCCCATTGACTTCTCCGTCACATCCAACAACGCTACCATCAAACCCGCCCTGCAGGCCAGAGTACTTGGTGTCATTCTGGACTCCAACCTATCCTTCCAGCCCCAAGTCCAATCTTTAATAAACTCGTGCAGACACCACCTCCGCAACATTGCCAAAATCCGCACGTTCCCAACTCCAGAAACCACTAAACAGCTCATCCACTCTCTCATCATATCACGACTCGACTACTGCAACTCCCTCCTCACTGGCCTGCCTCGCCGCTGGCTATCCCCGCTTCAGTTGATCCTGAATACGGCTGCCAGACTCATTCACCTTTCCAACCGCTCCGTTTCCGCCACCCCCCTCTGCCAATCCCTCCACTGGCTTCCGATTGTGCAACGGATCAAATTCAAAATCCTAACGCTGACGTACAAAGCTGTCCACCATACTGCCCCGAACTACATCACTGACCTAATATCCAAGTACCGCCCAGCACGCACACTCCGCTCCTCACAAGACCTCCTTCTCTCTAGTTCCCTGGTCTCCTCCTCCCATGCCCGCCTCCAGGACTTCTCCAGGGTGTCACCCATCCTCTGGAACTCCCTGCCCCAACCCATCAGATTATCACCTACTCTCCTCTCCTTTAGGCGCACCCTGAAAACCCATCTCTTCAGGGAGGCATACCCCACCCCCTGCTAACTTGCCGACCTCCTCCACTCTTCCTACCACTCCATCCCCCACAGCTATCTCCTCCTGTGCCACCATCCCCTCCCTCCTAGATTGTAAGCTCGAAAAAGCAGAGCCCTCGATCCCCTCATGTTTTGCATTGTATTGGTATTGTTCTGTCACATGTTCTGTCCCCCTTTGTAATGTACAGCGCTGAGCGAACTATTGGCGCTTTATAAATACTGTATAATAATAATAATAATAGCCACAGCAGATGCAGAGTCGCAGGCCCTGGTCCTCGTTCAACATCTACCAAAATCTTTAGTCCTCATGCACACGGGACGTTTTTACAGCGGCAGTTTTTGGCTTTTGACGGTTTTTTCTACAGCCTGTAAACCCCCCCAGCATGTTATCCTATGTGTCCATGCACACAGACTGTAATCAACGTTTTTTGGCTGGAAAAAAAACCCAGGACCAGTGGGTTTCTAGAGGAGTCTTTTAGCTGTAAAAACGCACTAATGCTGAAAAACGCGGCAAAAAGCGGCAAAACGCCACAAACCGCTAGTAAAAAAACGCTAAAACCGCAAACGCGGCTAAATGCTAATGCAAAAATGCTAAAAAAAAGCTGAAAAACCTCACGTTTTTAACGTGACTTTACACAGCTAATGTTACCAGCGTTATAAAAACACCCCGTGTGCATGGAGACTTAGAGATTGTGTCATAAGCAGGGGCGGACTGACAACTCATGGGGCCACCGGGCAATAGGGGATCATGGGGCCCCTGTGTCCTTGCCCAAACTCAAAAAAGCCTATGAAAAAGGTACCAGGGGCATCTCATGTGGCCCCCTACTGACCCCGGGCCCTCAGGCAGTGCCCAAATTTCCAAATGGTCAGTCCGCCCCTGGTCATAAGGGATGCATGGAGGTTGCCATTGCAGTCCTCCTATTGAAAATACTAAACACCTGACCGTGTCTGACTTCAGTATGTTTCAGACATAGCCCTGAAACAAGCATGCTAAAAAAAAAAAAAAAAAAAAAAAAAAAAAAAAGTGGAGAGAAGATGATGGTTTTCTGTTGGGCTTCCAGGAATTTTCATTTTAAATTCTCTATAGAAACTATTGAGTACTGTCCATGATACTTTTTTATTTGCACTGACATACAATATTTCCTGAATCTTCGTTAGGGCAAATAAAAAAAAGTATCAAGGACAGTACTCAATTGTTTCTGTCGCAAGTACATCAATTCGGCTACAATCACTTCAAGCAAGATGGTGAATTCTCTATAGAACTTCAGGTGTCTGGAAGGGGTTAGGCACAGAGAAGTATTAGCCCTACTTGTTCCAGGTCAGGGACTCAGAAATCAAAGCCCCACAATGACAGCCAAGGAGCTGGCATTTCTAAAGGACAGTTCAGCAATGGCAGACTCTGTTAATCTCTCATGACAGCGTCCCATCAAATATTAGTTTTGGGTGGAATGACCACTCAAGCGGTTGCCCTAGACACCTAAAAACATACGCATGGTAATATATAGTACAATGGCAGTCACACATCTTCCATTCTATTCCGGATATACTTACGTCAGGGGTCAGCACTGAGTAGCTGGGTGGAGGCTTTTCCACAGACACCGGGAGGGAGAAGGCTCCGGTACGAAGTCTCCCATGTTGCAATAGTGGGATCCACTGTGAAGAAAGAGGAGTATCATTCTATAGTACACAGTCAGATTTCAACTGTCATTTTTCTAGGGCAGGGGTGAGCAACTGTGGCCCTCCAGCTGTTGGTGAACTACAAGTCCCATCATGCCTCTGCCTTTGGGAGTCGTGCTTGTAACTGTCAGTTTTGCAATGCCTCATGGGACTTGCTGTTCTACAACAGCTGGAGGGCCACACTTGCCCAACCCTGTTCTAGGGCTATGGATCACCTTACCACCACAGCAATGCCTTAACCTGTGTCAAGGAAGTGGAGAGAAACAGACTCACAGGCTGTGAGGCAGGTGGAAGCTCTCGGACAAACTGAGAAGTGGGCTGTTGATCCCCCAATGTGGCCTGCCTGGCACTCTTGTTATGGAGGAGTCCCCTGTATGGGGACCGAAGATTGTGAAGGAAGACACATAAGAAAGGTGCAGAATTTTAATTTTCTGGTCCGTCGTGAATTGGGTTTGCAGTTCAGATTCTCAAGAAGATAGAAATTGTAGCCCATCGCTTCCCATTTCGTAAGCTGCACCTTGACCCGACGTATTGGCGGAGAGCCATTTAGCCGACTTTAATCGTTCACATGGTCCATTGTTTGGAAGATCCTTATCTGCTGTTTTGGTGATCTGGAGGAGGATTCAAGTGACCGGCTTTCTGGATTGTGTAACAAAGCATGACTGACCACTCTTAACGGGGTCATGCCTTTCTGGTAAGCCTTCTGTAGTAGTGGTTGGTGACACGACAACTGTCCTTGGATTTCTTTTGTTTCATCACATCCTCTGGGACTTTTCTTTTTAGATGGACTATTTTTTTGACACATTTTTCACTGTTTTCTTATGATTATTTGTAACTTTTTAAGCTCTGCACTTTTATGTATTTATTGTTGATTGCCTAGTATCAGGGTTTTGTGTTCAGCTGCTATATGTTTTACACCTCATTTTTGATTATCTTTTGTGGTTCTTATTAGCGCAGATATATATATAGATAGATAGATAGATAGATAGATAGATAGATAGATAGATAGATAGATATAAATACACACATATATATATATATATATATATATATATACACACACATATATATATATATATATATATATATATATATATATATATTTAAACATTAACCTGTTATCACTGTGTCCAGATATCAACGTGTCCAGACCCCAATGGTAAAGTCTTGGCTGAAGGCAGATACAGTTATAGGAACAGAAAGCTCTCACCGTATAGCCAGCAGGAGTCTCCAAGGAGGAAGTCTGGTTCTGCCGGCAGCTCACATGGTAAAAAGTGAAGAGAAGATGATGGTTTTCGGTCATGTTTCCAGGAATTTTCATTTTAAATTCTTCATAGAACTCCGGAGATCTGGGAGGAATTTGGCACAGAAAATGTAATGAGCTAAGATGACAAAATGTAAGCAGGACTCAGGGCACATACACTCACTAAGCACTATATTAGGTCCACCTGTTCAATTCCTTGCAACAAAATTGCTAATTAGCCAATCACATGGCAGCAACTCAATGCATTTAGGCATCAAGACGTGATGAAGACGACTTGCTGAAATTCAAATCGAGCATCAGAATGGGGAAGAAAGGGAATTTAAGTGACTTTGAACATGGCGTGGTTGTTTGGTGCCAGACGGGTTGGTCTGAGTCTTTCAAAAACTGCTGATCTACTGGGATTTTCCCACACAACCATTCCTGGGGTTTTCAGAGAATGGTCCGAAAAAAGAGAAAATACCCAATGAACGGCAGTTGTGTGGACAACAATGCTAATTAGGTGACTTCTCATGGCAATTGGTTCCCCTAGATTTTAGTTAGGGGTATCAGAGTAAAAGGAGTTGAATACAAATGCACTTTTCAGATATTTATTTGTAAAAACTATTGAAAACTATTTATCATTTTCCTTCCACTTTACAATTATGTGCCACTTTGTGTCGGTCTATCACATAAAATCCCAATAAAATACATTTACATTTTTGGATGTAACATGACAAAATGTGGAAAATTTCAAGGGGTACAAATACCTTTTAAAGGCACTGTATGCCCTTGCATGTTAGTCTATGTGTCCATGCACACCTAGGTGATTAGAGGCAACCCCCCCCCCAGCCAGTGTATCCAGGAGCAGTTGACTTTAAGCAGAAAAAAAATGCTTGACGCACCTAAGCATGAGTTAATTTCAATGGCCAGAATAATTTATTACCCAACACCTAAACGTGACGCCTAAACGCGTGACACAAGTTTCAAAGCTCCAAGCGTTTTTTTTTTTTGCTCAAATTCTGTTTCCAGGAGGAAAGGAGTCTAGGAAGCTGTCCAGTGTCCATGAGGCCTTATTGACACATGCTCTTACTAATATTACTAAAATCTCAGATTTTTTGCCAGGGCTTGTTCAAGGGGTTGTGGCGAGTCCATAAATTAGCGGTCAAAAGAGCGTTAGAGCTGTACAGTGACCCGCTGCATTCTAGAACTGATCATACCCCGTTAGCTTTTTTTTCCGCTCGGCCTGAAAAACCAACAGATTCCTCCATTCATACAAATGAGGTGGATGGAAGAATCTTTCCTGATGCTGTCAGAATACAGTGATCAGCAGCTGAAAGCGACTGTCTGCAGGCGATGAGCAAGAAAAATATTTCCAGTGTGTCAAGTTGATCAAATGATTGACTTCTGTCGAGCGGAGATGGCCACGCACTGATCAAAATGTGGCCAGTCATTGCTGAACTAGCCGAATTTTGATCAGTGTAAGGCCAAGCTTAAGGGGAACAGGACACATAACACCACCAGATGAGAGAAGAGATACTCACTTATTATGATACACCACAGCAGTGTACGCCTCAGTGTAGTACTCACTGCAACTCGACTTCCCAAATATCACCTACAGACAAAAAGATTGGATACTAGATAAGGAGCAAAACAGAGCTGAGTAAAAATTCTAGTCACCAGTTATGGGCAAAGGTACCCAATCTACTGCTGTATTTGTTTTTTGCAAAACATTTTATTCTGGTAAAGCTACACTAGATTGCCAAAAGTATTGGGACGCCTGCCTTTACACGCACATGAACTTCAATGGCATCTCAGTCTTAGTCCGTAGGGTTCATTATTGAGTTGTAAGATAAGAGGAGAGAGAGGTGCGCCAGACTAAGTGCATCCGGGCGTAGTACCAGAGGCAGGATGGAGGAACTGGATGGGTTCCAGGGGCCACAGCTAACATGATGACCAGGTCTCTATCACTGATCTCAGAGGAGGAGCAGGGAGGGCAGATGGGTATCCAGGGGGCCACAGTGCGGATGAGAGCCGGGTCTCCTGGTAAGCGTGTGCACCTCTCCAACCTGCATGGGTTGTGTCACGTCGGTGGAACCAGCCTGGAACGCAAAGATGGCTGCCGGGCGGAAGTGACGTCAAGACGGAACGTGAAGCCGCAGGAAGGGGGCGGTAACGCGTTTCAGGTATGATGAAAAAGCGTAAAGCTTTGAAACGCATTACCGCACCCTTCCTGCGGCTTCACGTTCCGTCTTGACATCACTTCCGCCTGGCAGCCATCTTTGTGTTCCAGGCTGGTTCCATCGAAGTGACACAGCCCATGCAGGCTGGAGAGGTGAGATCGGAGATAGAGACCTGGTCATCACATTAGCTGTGGCCCCTGGAACCCATCCAGTTCCTCCATCCTGCCTCTGGTACTATGCCTGGATGATGTCCGCTTTGCATTGATGCCTGAATACTACTTACCTCCTGTGAGGTATATTGTGTGCAATAAATTGATGATTTTATACTGCACTTAGTCTGGCGCATCTCTCTCTCCTCTTATCTCCCATTGCAGAGTTCCGCTTAACTCTAGAGGGTGTAGCCTCACGTCGGTGCCATACCCTACAGCTTTAACATCACCCCCCCCTTCCAGGAACTACCTATGTGATTGTACTGTATTATCCCCATCTCTCCAGCAAAAAGCTCATTGCTATATACTCCAACAATTTTACCCCTTCTATGGAGAGACTCTAAATATCCCCACAGTTGAACTTCCTTGTTTTCCCTATTACCCATGGGACTATAATATCCATAACCACCTCTCCTTCGCCAATATACTCTCTTCATTATTGAGTTGGCCCCGCCCTTTGCACCTATAACAGCTTCAACTCTTCTGGGAAGGCCGTCCACAAGGTTTAGGAGGGTGTCTATGGGAAGGTTTGACCATTCTTCCAGAAGCACATTTGTGAGTTCAGGCACTGATGTCGGACGAGAAGGTCCGGCTCGCAGTCTCCACTCTAATTCATCCCAAAGGTGTTCTATGGGGTTGAGGATAGGACTGTCACGTTCCTCCACCCCAAACTCGCTCCCCCATGTCTTTATGGACCTTGCTTTGTGCACTGGTGTGCAGTCATGTTGGAACAGGAAGGAGCCATCCCAAAACTGTTCCCACAAAGTTGTGAGCATGAAATTGTCCAAAATGTCTTGGTATGGTGACACCTTAAGAGTTCCCTTCACTGGAACTAAGGGGCCAAGCTCAACCCCTGAAATACAACCCCACACCATAATCTCCCCTCCACCAAACTTTACACAATGCAGTCAGGCAAGTACCGTTCTCCTGGCAACCGCCAATCCCAAACATGTCCATCGGACTGCCAGACAGTAAGATTGGTCACTCCAGAAAACATGTCTCCACTGCTCTAGAGTCCAGTGGCAGCGTTCTTTATACCACTGCATCCAACGCTTTGCATTACACTTGGTGATGTAAGGCTTGGATGCAGCTGCTCGGCCATGGGAACCCATTCCATGAAGCTCTCTACGCACTGTTGTGCTGATCTGAAGGCCACACAGAGTTTGGAGGTCTTTAGATATGGACTCTGCAGACAGTTGGCAACTTCTGTGCACTTCAAAATGCACTGACCCCGCTTTGTCATTTTACGTGGCCTACCACTTGGTGGCTGAGTTGCTGTTCCCAGTTGCTTCCACTTTGTCATAATCCCACTAACAGTTGCCCGTGGAATATTTAGTAGCCAGGAAATGTCACGGATGGACTTATTGCACAGGTGGTAACCTATCACGGTACCACGCCAGAATTCATGGAGCTCCTGAGAGCGACCCATTCTTTCACAAATGTTTGTAGAAGCAGTCTGCATGCCTATGTGCTTGATTTTTATACACCTGTGGCCATGGAGGCGATTGAATCCAATGATTTCGAGGGGGTCCCAACACTTTTGACAATATAATCTATATTCAAATAATAGGCACTCCTGACAATCCTCCTTCATAAATGTTCAAAAAGGTGAATAATAAGCACAATTCTTGGCAGAAAAGGTGGGCAGGGCTCCCTCTGGTGACCAATGTCGCTCTCCTTCAAGGAAGATAAAGATCAGGTCAGGCCACAAATTTACGTACCTCCCTCTTCCCCCAAAACACTTTCAGCAAAGATACTATGGCATGCAGGTACCACCACTCACTATATTCAACTCCAATAAAAGGTAAGTAAAAGGCTTTAGCTCAGATCCCAGCTCATCAGTCACGCCCGACATGTTTCACCCATTACTAATCTTAGAGGTCATGAGCTCTATGATTAAGTCCAATATGAGTGAAACATGTCAGAGGAGCGTGACCAATGATTTGGGATCTGAGCTAAAGCCGGTCTTTCACTTACCTTGTATTGGAGTTCAATAGAGAGTGAGGTGGTACCTGCATGCCATAGTATATTTTGGAGTGGGATGTGCTCTATGTCTGCCAACACCTGAATACAGACTGTAAACCTGGGAGACTGGTATTGCAGGCTTGGCGAGGCGCTGATCTATTATGATCTTTCAGCAAAGATCTTATGTCCTGTGTTACTGGTCAAACCAATACCTGCCCGTTGGAGCCCTGAACTCCCTTTTCTGTACAAAGACAAGTACTTCACAGACCCTTTTATCCTCTTTCAGCCTAGAGGAGTAGTATGTCAGGACACCAGACGTGTGTATTATAATAGAACTCCAATCTGTCTCTAGGCTCACCGGCAAAGCTTGGTTGGGGTCCTCTCCAGCCATGAACTGGACCTTCACTGCAATATTCCGCACAGACCCCTGGCGGCTGTTCAAGTTAAGGGACCGCGGATAAACATAAAGAAGGTTCCTGCAAAGGGAAAAAAAAAGGCCATCTTAGTTCTGGGAAATATAATGTGTTAATGATTCCTAAACCTAGTGCAGTTAAAGCTTAAATCCAATAAAACAATTATTATCCAAACATAAGCAGCATGTATGTTTTTAGCAGAATCTGTCTTTTGCGCACTTAATCAATATGTGCAGTAATCCAATATGGGGGGTAATAGTACTGACACTAGTGTTGGGGGTTGTTACTGCATTCACTGACACCAATGCTGGGGTTATTATACTCCAACTTACTCAGTGTGCATTACGATACACCTGCATAAAATGAAGCATCACCAAAATGTTTTGGCACAACGCACTGCTATTGTGTGACCCCCTGGAAGTGTTGGGGGTCACCGTTAAGGCCCTCTGTAATTTTCAGGTTGACAACCACAGTTTAATACATACACTACAAAAGACGTCAGCTGTGTGTTGGAAGACATTGCTCCCCATAATGCGGGGTTGGATTAAGAGGCCATTCAAACTTGTGCGACTTTGGGGTTCAAAATCGCATGACAAGTTGCACCCTATGTTTCACAATGAGTACCATTCATTTCTGTGTGACTTCAAGTCGCAGCAACTTGTAAGTAGTTTATGCACTACTTTGGTACGACTTTCATGCAACTAGAGGACCATAGACTTCAAGAAAAGCCTCCAAAGCCGCACCTGAATGAAAAACATGCAACTTGTGTGTGACTTTGTAGAGTTTAATCGTTCTTGGTCAATGGCAAAGTCACACTCATCGAAAGTCGAATTAAAGTCGCACTGTAAAGTTGCAATGAAAATCGCACAACTTTTAAGTGCGAATGGAGCCTTACCCATTAAATTCAATGAAACCTAATTTCCTATAAAAAAATTATGTGTTTATAGCAGCCGATCAACGTTTTTAGCCCACTTACAGCAAATAGTAAATTAAAGTGAACTGGTCCAATTTGGTTGGTTAAATACACCACTGAAAGTGTTTTTTTCCATATGTTTTATATGTGCAAAACACCTGTTGATCTGATACTGGACTGTGTGTATCTACTGCTGCCATGTTAGATCTGCAATTTTGTGTTTATGGCATCTTGTCTTTGTATGGCGATTTCTTTTCTGTGCCCATGGACAGTGGGGTACGGAGCGGAGCACTTAATTCTTTAAGGGATATGCACAAACCACCATAGTGCACTACAAGTCCCAGCTTTCAAAGTCCAATGGCAATGACATCCATAAATCAAATGGGGCCACACAAGGAAATCAAGGGTCACAGGGCAACTGGATCCTGCAGCTTCCAGATAGGGATCCAGGATGATCCAAAGCAGCTCAAAAGACAGAAACACAGGAGCGCGGGATCCACTTTAGAATAAAAGTGATTTATAAAACAATACAAGCATAGCACACCTACATTGAAACCAAGGTGGATAAAAGTCAATGATTTTTAAAAAACAAAAATTAAAAAAAATCAGGTTTTATTTAAATCGGATTTTTTTTTATTTTAATCAGATTTTTTTTTAAATAAAATGCTTTTTGAGGAAAATATATTACCATCCAAAGGTTATTCCATCATGAAATAAAGATTAGTTTTTTAATTATGTAGAATAAGGCTGTATATGTTTAATTTTTTTGGTAAACAAATTCCATGAATCCATTCACAATGTCATGCTCTTCCAGAGGTTTTTGTAAGATTATTGGGCAGTTTCTCTGCCTACAAGATATTATCACAGATGATTGGTTTACTTTTGCAGTTCTCAAAACTGAATTTGACTCAGCGGAGATCACATGACTCTTCTTCACAGCAAAAATGTTATAACATGAACAGAGTTAAGAAAAAGACCTTCATCCTAACTTCTACAAAACCTATGAATACAGAATCAACCCCTTCACTGCTAAGTTTCAAGAAGTTCAGTGAATAGAATAGAAACAATATTTTTCTGATTGTTTGGAGTGGAATAGATCTGCACAAGAAGAAAGTGACACTAAGTGTGAGGAGGAGGAAGGGGCTGACAGTCTAGGTTTCTTAATATATATATATTCTGTTTAGCCAAATTAGTTAACAAACATGGATGTTTAAGCCAATCACATATGCTGGAATGTTATTGTTTCAGATGAATAAATCTATTTAAAGTGTTATTATTAAGGTAATGATTATTTTTCTCCTTCCTAAGTACAACAGAAAAGTTGTCCAAATATGAATGATTAACCTATTAAACTGGGGATAAAAAAACTAATATGAAAAGTTGTTATTCTAAAAATCTTCATCTACTTGCATATTAAAGTTATACCAGCAAGAATTAGTCTTTATGTAGAAAACTAGGATTTACATCAAGCCTTACTGACTAGTGATTTAAATCAGTTGATTTAAATCAAACCCACCCTGATTGAAACCGGATGTAGAGCAGCGTAGGAAGCAGAGGGCACTAGCAGAGAACCGTAGCTGGCAAAGCTGTACTAAAGAAGCAGCAGCTCCCAATCTCCACGCCAGCATTCAGAAGACCCACGCTGACAGCTGTCAAAGAATCCACCAATAGACAGCGTTCTCCACCACTGAGTCCTATCTTGTGGCGACCTCTACGTGCAAAGGGCATACTGGGGCGGTAAAATGTTTCGAAGGGCATCCCCTTCTTTCTCAAACCCCAGAAGCTGATCTACATACGTTTTAGCTGTAAGGGTGCTATGTTTTTTTTGTTAATAAATTAATGCTTTTATTATACTGTGGATCCTGTGCTCCTGTGTTTGTCTTTTAATTCTTTGTTAGGCACAGTTTGTGCCGATTTTAGTAATGTTTCGATTTTTATAACTTTTAAGTGCCTTTTAAGTGGTAAAATCCAAACTAATAAAAAGAATAAAAGAAAACCCCAGCAGATCTTGTCAAAAATTTAGAGCCGTCATGTATCCTCTGCAAACTTGCTGGGTTATCTCCCAGAGTCTATTTAGCCCTCCCAGATCCTATACTGGACTACAAATCAATTGGTGTCTATGTTCTAGAACTGCAGACAGTGGGACTGATTCAGCAGTTTAGCAAAGGACAGTGCTGACACCACTCAGTCCATAGAAATGCTCTGTGTCATCAGCCCAGAATAGGATATTAACCCCTTTGCGCCTCCCGGCCCTTTAAGGGTTCCAGAAGCCGAGAGGCGGGCGGGGTTTTAGAATCATGTGTTGCTGTCATGGCGGTCACATGATCAGGAAAGGTCTCGATTGAAAGAGGAGATCAGGAGCTTTCTGTGAGTACCGAACGTGTGCGCGGGGAGCGCGCACTCTCAGCACGTCTTTTTAAATACAACGCAAATGTGCGGCCACTCGGCGTCTAGGCCCAGACGCAGAGAGGCCGCACATTTGCGTTCGGCTGGCGCCAAGAGGTTAAGAGCACACTGCATTTCTGGCAGATTAACAGGCAATTGTCCTATACTTCTAGGGTCTCTAAGGGGATAAAACGTGGGAAAATGTGTGAGACCCTTTAGGGACCATTCGCACCAGAACGTGCTGCGGGAAACCCATGTTTCATGACCTCAAACTAACTGGAGGAAAGCTCAAAACTGATCTCAGAAAGTACTATTTTACTGAAAGAATAGTTGATGCTTGGAATAACTCGATGGACCACTTGGTCTTTTTCTGCCGTCACTTTTCTATGTTTCATCCGCAGTTCCAGCACGGCATTCAAAACACATTGGGTGCGCAATCTGCTGCGGGTTTCAATGCATTCCTAACAATACCCCAAATGCAGATCGTAATCGCAGCGGATGTGCCTGAACCAGATTGCATGGTACCACAATATCATGTGATTCGACTGCAGTGCATTTTTTAAAAGTTGTGCATGCACTACTTTTGGTGCGATCCAGTGGGATTTCAGCCCATTCAAATGATAGGTTCAAAAATTGCACCACGCTAAACTGCACAGGAATGCAGCCTGTGTTCCCATTAGGTTCAGGTGTGAACCATCCCAAAGCCCTGGTTCACATCTATGCGGCTGTGCAGGCTGCGTTTTGCGTGGGCAAGAGAGACCATTCATTTGAATGGACTCCTGTACCTGTGACACATAGAGAAGAAGTCCCTGCACTTCTTTGGAAACCGCAGCCCACACGGGAACTTTGGTCTGGCGTTTGTAGAGGGTTTTTTAACGCACGGGAACTTTGGTTCTCAGCACGGTTGCAATTTCCAGTGCGGGCAGCGTGCCGTTAGAACTAAGGCTACGTTCACACTAGCGTTGTGTGCAGGCGGCAGAGAGGCGTTTGGGAAGCGTTTTTACTGCTTCCCAAACACCTCTGCCAATTCTGCACATTACAGCACATGGTGCTGTTCTAACGGGAGCGTTTGCATCGCGGCAAAACGGACGCCTCTGGTCGAGTCAGGAGGCGTTGAAGCCTCCTATTCTCGTCTATGGTGCCGCTCCGCAAACGTTTGTGGTGCGGTTGCGGGGCGTTTGCGGAGCGGTAACACCACTCAAACTGCATTATAGGCGTTTGTGGGGCGTTATAAACGCTCGGCAAACGCCTAGCAACCGCCGCTAAACCGCGCATGCGGCGTTTGCGGAGCGTTAAAAAACCCTCTGCAAACGCTGGACCAACGCTTGCCATTTGCTATAGGGGCGTTTGGCAAGCGTTGGTAAAACAGCCAAGTGTGAACGAGCCCTTATGGTACCCTCCTGTGGGTCGGCATTCCTCTGTGCGGGTGGTGCGGCTGCACGGATTTTCCTGCGGATCCGCAGTGACACCACCCGCACAGATGTGAACCTAGCCTCAAGGTCTCAGTGCCAGAAATGAGCTACACTTTTTATTTTACCTTGACATAGGCTTTTTAAACACAGGATGCTGAACACAAGCACAGCTGAGCCCTGCCGGTTCTTGCTGCATCCATGACACCGGACCACCTCCCCTTTCTGGCAAAGCAACGGTGACAGTGCGCAGTGGGCATAGCCGATTCAGCCAATGGGAAGGCAGCAGACGGCATTACCTTTGTGTAACCTTGGGGCGAGGTCACCTGTGTTTACCTGGCAGTGACAGCAGACGAGAGCAATAAGTGAC